GGAAACTGACGTGAAATGGGAAGCGAGGTTGAAGTCACGGGAACTAAAACAAACTAAGGGAAAGGAGTGCGAATGATGGGGAGTTCAAGGACATGAAGGGAGCTGCAACGGAAATGAGGAAGTGAAGGGAAATGCCAAAAACTGTCAAACATGCAGGGAAGACATGCAAAGGAAGCGAAGTTCAAATCCCGGGAACTAACGGGAATTAAAGGAAAAGGAAATGAAAGCAAGGTGCCCGGTGGCCGGCTGCGTCGCGTCAGTGTAAATCCGGCCACCGGGGACACAGGCCTAGCGTGGAGGGCTACCTTCAGGTAGTAGGAGAAGGCCGTCCGCTTCACGCCGCCGACCATGAGCTGATCATGCTCCGACCACAATGTGCATACGTTTTGCGCTGGGCCCACCCTTATAAGGGGCGAAGGATTTGCCGATTGGTTTAGGCGATTTTTGAGGATTTTTCTCGCATAAACCACAATGCAGGCAAATGCAAGGGCAGAACGCGAAGGGAACCGGAGGACGGGAACGAAGAAAAATTGTTGGAAATTATGGGAAACGACGAGAAGCTGAAGAGAAATGAAGGGATGTGCAGGAAACTGACGTGAAATGGGAAGCGAGGTTGAAGTCACGGGAACTAAAAAGACCTAACGGAAAGGAATGCGAATGACGGGGGCGTTCAAGGAAATGAAGGGAGCTGAAACGGAAATGAAGCGAAAGGACATGCGGGGAAATGCCAGGAAACCGTCGGACATGCGGTGAAGTTCAAATCGCGGGAAGTGCCGGGAAGCAAAGGAAAAGGAAATGAAAGAACGGGAAGGGCAAGGTGCCCGGTGGCCGGCTGCGTCGCGTCAGCGTGTGCATCCGGCTACGCCATGTCGCCGCTAGGCACTTTTTGCCTGCTAGCTTCAGCTATGCGTGTGCCGCCGACCCTCGTCACTTGGTCGTGATGCGTTGCCTATATCCAGCACCTCTTCATCACCAGCTCGGGCTTGCGGTTTTGCTTGCCGGGAGGAAGCCCTCACAAAGCCTCGCGTGTGTGCAGGGTTTAGGTCATGCGGCTGACATCAGGGTCTGGGGTTGGGCCTGGGTGATGCTTCAGCGGGGCTTGGTCTGCATCATCAAGACTTCCTCCCAAAAAGCCTCTCAACCCATGAAGCACTGTTTTTCAGAAGGTGTCGGAGGGGTATAAGCAAGGCTTATTTTCGCGCATTTTGGCGCCAGGCGCTGCCGGGCATGCCGGCGATGCTGGGTCCTTGCTCTACAAAACGCTGTACCGTCAAAAACTGCTGCGCTGAGCCCAATCTGTCCGTTTTGCTTTTGCTGTGGCTGGCTCGCGTGCTGCGCGGTCCTTGCTTTTTTCCCGTTGGTTTTCGGGCCTTCTGGCAGCCACAAAACTCTGCTATTTATGGTGTTTTGCTGCATGTGCGTTTCCGGGATGGCTTGCGGCTGTTCTTTTTGGGCTGCTCTTTCTAGGGCCTCTGGCGCGCGCGCGACCCCATGTCAGCCTTCTGGTTAGGGCCCAGAAAGCTGGCATCCCCGCCGGCATCATCTGGGGTTGAGGGGGGCAACATGCATAACCTAACCAGCCATATCATAGCACACGCTACGTTTCTCATAGAAAAAAACATGACATGACATGGTATAACTTCAAAGAGGCGTAGCCGGCTTGAGGCCGCAGGCCCAGAAAATCCAGCAAATCAGTCAAGCAAATCAAAACAGGCAAGACAGTCAAATGTCAAGTCAGCCAAGCCAGTCAACTTTATCAGGCCAGCCACATCGGTCAAGTCAGCCAAGTAGTCAAGTAGTCAGTCAAGTACGTGAAGTCAGTCAAACTGCCGGCCAAGCAACTAGACCAAGTCAGCCAGGTCAGCTCCAACAAAACTCTCAACTAGGCACGCACTAACTCGCTCGAGAAGGGCGAGGGGGAGAATGGAGTGCAAGGAGAAGTGGAGGGAGTGGAGAGGCCTTGAAGTGAGAATTGTGGAGCAATTTTGTGAATGATTGGAGTGGGGTGTGGGGTGGGGTGGGGTGAGGCTGGGGGAATTGCTCCCACACATCCAAAGGAGCGCAGCTCCCGCCTGCTTGGAGTGGTTTGAGTTGTTTGTTCATTGGGTGAGTTGTCTGGAGTTTGCTTTGAGCATCACCTGCATAATTTGCGCCGCTGCCCCCATGACCAATCTGCAGGTCACCAACCTCCAGAGCTATGCTTGGAGTTGTTTCAGTTGATTGAGTTGTTTGGTTTGCTTTGTGAACAATCTGAAGGTCACCAACCTGCAGGGGCATCCTTGGAGTTGTTATGAGTTGTTTGTGTTTGTTTTCAGCATCACCGGAATCACTTGGGCCGCTGCCCCATGATCAATCTGCAAAGCATCAACCTGCACGGGTGTCCTTTGAGTTGTTTTGAGTTTGCCTGATGCCGGTGATGCTCAAAGCAAACCTCATACACTTCAAAACAAGTTTAAGGATACCCCTGCAGGTTGGTGACCTGCAGATTGTTCATGGAGGCTGATTGGAGTTGGGGTTTGCTGTGGGCATCACCGGCATCATTTCCGCCGCTGCCCCCATGAACAATCTGCAAATCACCGACCTGCAGGGCGAATCCTTGTTGTTTTGAGTTGTTTGGGGTTTGCTTTCAGCATCACTGCCATGACCGGCATCATTTGCGCCTCTAGCCCAGTAATCCGCAGCTCGCCAATCTGCAGGGGTGTCCTTGGAGTTGTTTTGAGTTGCTTGGGGCTTGCATCACCGGCATCATCTGCGCCACTAGCCTGCAGATTGTTCACGGAAGTAGCGGCCCAGGTGATGCCGGGGATGCCGAAAGTAAGCCATAAACAACTCAAAACAATTCCAAGGACACCCCTGCAGGTTGGTTACCTGCAAATGGTTCATGGAAGTAGCGGCTCCGGTGATGCCGGGGATGACGAAAGTAAGCCCTAAACAACTCAAAACAACTCCAAGGACACCCCTGCAGGTTGGTGACCTGCAGATGGTTCATGGAAGTAGCGGCTCAGGTGATGCCGGATGCCGAAAGTAAGCCCTAAACAACTCAAAACAACTCCAAGGACACCCCTGCAGGTTGGTGACCTGCAGATTGCTCATGGAGGCAGCGGTGCAAATGATGCCGGTGATGCCGGTGGTGCCAGTGATGCCAGTGATGCCAGATGCTGAATGCAAACCCCAAACAACTGCAGATTGTTAAGGGGGCTAGTGACGCAAAATGCCGGTGATGGCAGTGATGCCGAAAGCAAACCCCAAGCAACTCAAAACAACTCCAAGGATTAGCCCTGAGGTCGGCTTGTTCGTGGGAGCAGCGGCGCAAATAATGCCGGTGATGCCGAAAGCAAGCCCTAAACAACAGGTTGGTGACCTGCACATTGCTCATGGGGGCAGCGGTGCAAATGATGCCGGTGCACCAGTGATGCCGAAAGCAAACCCCAAACAACTCAAAACAACTCTTGGTAAGCTGCAGATTGTTCATGGGGACACCAACCTGCAGGGGTGTCCTTGGAGTTGTTTTGAGTTGTTTAGGCATTACTTGGGCTGCTACTTCCATCAACCATCTGCAGGTCACCCATCTGGGGTGCCCTTGGAGTTGTTTTGAGTTGTTTTCGGCATCACCAGAATGACTTGAGCCGTTGTTTTGAGTTGCTTAGGCCTTACTTTCGGCATGCCCGGCATCACCTGGGCCGCTACTTCCATGAGCAATCTGCAGGTCACCAACCTGCACGGGTGTCCTGGGAGCTGTTTTGAGTTGTTTAGGGCTTACTTTCGGCATCACTTGGGCCGCTACTTCCGTGAACCATCTGCAGGTCACCCACCTGCAGGGATGCCCTTCAAGTTGTGTTGAGTTGTTTAGGCCTTGCTTTCAGCATCCCCGGCATCACTTGGGCCGCTACCTCCATGAACCATCTGCAGGTCACCAACCTGCAGGAGTGTCCTTGAAGTTGTCTTGAGTTACAGCTTACGCTCGGCATCCCCGGCATCACTTGGACTGCTACTTCCATGAACGGTCTGCAGGTCGCCAACCTGCAGGGTGTCCTTGGAGTTGTTTTGAGTTGTTCAGGGCTTACTTTCGGCATCCCCGGCATCACCTGAGCCGCTACTTCCATGAACCATCTGCAGGTCACCAACCTGCAGGGGTGTCCTTGGAGTTGTTTTGAGTTGTTTAGGCCTTGCTTTCGGCATCCCCGGCATCACTTGGGCCGCTACCTCCATGAACCATCTGCAGGTCACCAACCTGCAGGGTTGTCCTTGGAGTTGTTTTGAGTTGTTTAGGCATCACTTGGGCCGCTACTTCCATGAACCATCTGCAAGCAGGGGTGTTCGTGGAGCTGTTTTGAGTTGTGTCGGGGCCGCTACTGCCATTGTTTTCAGTTGTTTAGGGCTTACTTTTGGCATCCCCGGCATCACTTGGGATGCTACTTGCATGAACGGTCTGCAGGTCACCAACCTCCAGGATGTCCTTGGAGTTGTTTTGAGTTGTTTTTGGCCTACTTCCATGAACCATCTGCAGGTCACCAACCTGCATGTCCTTGGAGTTGTTTTGAGTTGTTTAGCTTCCTTTCGACATCACCAGAATGACTTGGGCCGCCACTGCCGTTGTTTTGAGTTGTTCAGGGCTTACTTTCGGCATCCCCGGCATCACCTGAGCCGCTACTTCCATGAACCATCTGCAGGTCACCAACCTGCAGGGGTGTCCTTGGAGTTGTTTTGAGTTGTTTAGGCCTTGCTTTCGGCATCCCCGGCATCACTTGGGCCGCTACCTCCATGAACCATCTGCAGGTCACCCACCTGCAGGGGTGTCCTTGGAGTTGTTTTGAGTTGTTTGGGGTTTGCTTTCAGCATCACCGGCATCATTTGCGCTGCTGGGTGGGGTGCGGGCATGGGTGGGCTCGTGGGCGTGGGAGGGGGGGAGCAGTCAGGTTCTATGCAGTCCGATCTGTCCAGCAGTGTCAATTCAGCTCAAAACTTGAATTTGTCTGTCAGCCAGCCTCTGAGCCCAGCACAGGGAGTGCAAAGCCGGTTGGCTTTAGGGCACCGAACGGCTCCTGCCAGTCCAGACCGGATGTGGTAGACTGCAGTAACGTCACCATGATCTGCGACACGGACGGATATAGCCTCAAGAGCCTGAGAGCTTTGCAAGAGCTCACGCCCAAATGGGTGTGGGGAACCCATGTAATTGGAAACAAAAACTAAAACCTGCGGTCCATTGGTGGTTTGATTTTGACTGCCCAAATGACGCAGATTCAAAGCTCCCAATCGTTGCGCAGGTGCTCGGCTGAAGCCGGAGACCCGGCGGCATTCTCCGTCCCCGCGACCTCGATCCAGTGTCCTGCACGAGGCTCGAGTATCAGTGCGATGTGTCGTTGCTGTTCGTTGGATCCATTGCACCTGTGCCATGGAGCAAGCCATGAAGCAACTAAACGGAACAGCGATGAGCAACTAGACTCCTACCAGCGATTGAGCAATCAGAAGCGCAAAGATGTACTTCGTGAAGAAGAGCAACACGACGCCTCAGCGCCATGCCATAATGCATTGCGCACCGCATGCCAATGGATTTTCCTGAGGAGATGGCACCAAATCGCGTTCATGAGGGATCCAGCAACGCACTCCATCATCAAGCGCAGCTCCGTAAAGAATCGGAGTGTGCGGAAGATCCTGAACACCCTCGCTAGCTTGAATAGGCGGAGAACGCGCAGGAACATGATGTTGTAGGACCCAGTCACTTCTGCTGCTGACAAAGCAGTCACACCATTCCTCGAACGGCAAATTAAATGTGGCTGAGGCCTTCTGCATTGTCAAACTTGTTTGCTCTCCAAGCGTCTCCACAAGAACGAGCACCACAAGCACAAAATCAAATACGTTCCAAAGCCATTCCTGCAACAGAAGTCTCGGCCAACGCCCGCAGTCAAACATGCGCATGCACAAAGAGAGGGAGGAAGAGAGAGAGAGAGAGAGAGAGAGAGAGAGAGAGAGAGAGAGAGAGAGAGAGAGAGACACACACACACAGATTGAAAATATGTACACACACACAAGTAGGGATCGAGTTATATGTTGTGTATCCAAATGAGTCATAATCAAAACATGGTACAAAAAATGGTCGATCCAGAACCATCTAATTATATACCCAGGTTTTGATTTGGCTCAAATGTTCCCTCTCGTTCACGATGCATCAACCAGGTTTGCTTGCATCTTGCCTGAGTCCAAAAGTAATACAAGCGGTGCACCGTGAGCTTTGCAATCAGCTCCAAGAGGTAAAAGGCTGAGAAAGCAAACTCGATGCCCAGTTCTTGCCCAACTTGTTGCCCCGCATGCAATAGTTCATAGTCCGTCATCACTGTGATGTAGGCTGCGTTGGCCACAATTACCAGCAGCGACAGCAGGTTAAAGCTACTGCTTCGCATGAGCTCGGCCAGCCATCCGGTTCGGACCGGCTCCTTGATAGACTCAATCGCATGCAGAAGGGTTGCAGCTCGGTTCAGAGTCCACTGGGCAGCACCTGAAAACAGTTTCGCTTGGGATCGCATGCTCTGGGCATGCGAGGCTCTAGACATTGACCCGGCGCGAAGACCCACAATATCCAGGGTGAGCACCTCCTGCTCCACGTCTTCCTCTCCCCAAGTCAATGAACGGAGCCAACTGGCTTCCTTCGAAGCCATGGGTTCAGTGGACTTGCATGGCTCAATGCTGACAGGATCATGCTCCGCGTCAGCGGAAACGACATGGATCTCATCCATCTCCTCAAAGGGCTCCTTCTGGGCCGCGATGGAGGCTCTGAGAGCTTGGCCCAGCTCTTGCTGCCTCAGCGCCGTGTCTCTCTGCAGCTCAGCGAGCTCTTGGCTCTGCTGGCTCTGCTGCAGCAACTCCTCCAGGATGTTCAGCGTCCCGCGGCCCGCATCGGGCATCTCTTTGCCGCAGCTGAACATATCCAACATGGCAGCCCCGAACGGCACTTGGAGGAACTTTGACTTCAGCCAAAGGCAAACGGCAAAAGCCGCATTCGAACTCTCGGCAATATTCCAGACATGGACTGACGCATCAGCGTGTGGTCCGCAAGAAGCACTTTTCTCGCGCCCATGGGGCCGATCTCAGCCGAAGCCCTCAGCGATCCTGGTCCCCGGCTGTGTCCGTGGCCGCTGCAGGGGCAGCCCTCAAAAATTAGCATGGAAACAAGTCAAATTCGAAAGCATGCAAAACATACAAATATGTGTATACCTAGACCCTCCAGGTGTGCATTTTTTCTGCTGTTTGCTGAAAAAGCTATATATTGTGTCGTTTGCTCCAAAAAGAGCCTTTTCCTTTTAAAAGTGCTGCTTCAAAATCTTGCCAAAACGTGGTCGGCAAATGTCGCTTTTTGGTCGGGGAATGTCGCCTTTGGGTCGGGCAATGTCGCCTTTTTGTCTTCATCCTGGTTTCGCAAAACAGCAAAATATGCAAAAATGCGCTGAGGCAAAAAAATGCGTCGTTTGCACCAAAAGGAGCCTTTGGCCCAAACAGCACAAAAAAGGCATACTTAGGAGGGCCCAGGTATATATGTATAATATATATATAATATATATCGGAAAGCTGAGACAAGCGCTTGCTGAAGCGGTCCATGCGCTTCTGCCGCTTGCGCCTCTCGTTCTCATCCGCCTCACAAGAGGATTCTTGGCACCTTCCCCCCGCTTCCTATCTCAGGATTCGCATGCGTCGCATGCCTCCCAAACGGAGCCAGAGGCAGGACCTGCATTGCGCTCGCTTGCTATACGAACCGCAAGTCGTGAGTCTGCCTGGCTGACCAGTCGCTGGCTCGGTTCCCCGGTGGTGAGCCTCACCTGCCAAGAACAGCATGCCTGGACATCTACAGATTTCCATGGGTGACATGTGTGCAAGCGCGCAGGCCAAATCGCCCCATGGCTTGGCCTCGACGCTTGCGAGCTCGTCCCTGCACGTATGGCTCTGCAGTACCATTATTAAGTACGTTCTCCCTGGGCCCCACCTCATCCCGACCTTGCAGAGAGCAATCTCGCTGATACTTTGATGCGTCGCAGGCTCCGGCGATCGTCATGCCCCCAGCCGGGGCCGCGGTCCAGCATCTCATGGAATTGGTCGTGCCGCCAATCCCGGTCCCCTGCCCACAAACTGCAAAAACAGCGGCCGGATTTGGGCTCAGCATGCTCAGCCCCACCTCGCCGAACATCCCTGCGCCGCTCACCTGGAGAGCGGCAAGAGAACTGCCTGGGGAAGTGCACGGAAACTGAGACGAAGGTGGAGCCTGCCTGGTTCTTTGCGGCGATCGACTGGGCAAACACGCACAATGTGAGCCATCAGCCGTTCGAATCCGAAGGCTTGAGTTTTGAGGTTCAATGTGCTTGGCACTGAGCACTGCACAATCTTCCCTGGGCTGCAGGTCGTCTGCCTGGAAAGCGTGCATATCGACGTATTGTGGATTGAACTTTTTCACTTGTCGATTCGCAAACTCCGTCCTGAGCATGACGGCCCCAGGCTTCCGTTCTTCTTCCTGGCCATGCACTCTCTGTGTTTGCCTCTTTCAATTCTCAACGTTGCACAGGCTCGCAGCGCACCTGCCGTCTTGGCTTGCTGCGCAAACCAGCTGTCCTCCCACTTCTCCTCAAGTGAATTGAGTGACATTTCAGAGATTTTCAGAGATTCCATGAGTCATGTCTCCACTGCGCGCTCGGACAGGCCGCTTTTGACCGGATGCGTGTCGGAGCAAAACAGATATACGATCCAAACCTTCGGTGTCGGCGCCTACGACCCCAAGGCCCCGAAGCCCCGAAACCTCAACTTCGGAAGCGCTTGTTGCCCCACGGGGCTCTCAGGTCTTTGGCCTGGAAATCAGCACACGGTCAAACAAAAGATCTACTTGGATGACTTGGATGCCAATGCCTGAGGCTGGCCCTTCTTGTTGATGAAAGCGCAAAACTCCACCTCGTTCCCCACCTGAGTAAAAGGAGGAGTCGAAGAGTCGTAAGACTCACTCGCTTTGGTCTGGCCTCCAATCCAGTGTCTTGGAGTTGAGCCTGCCGTGTCCGGGAGGACCAACGCCCGTTTGCTGCAAAACGTGTCAGAACGGCGTGGTGGAGGAAAACGTCGTTGGCATAGCCTTGCTGCTTCAAAGCCTCAACGAGACGGAGTATTCCAGAAGTGTTGGGAGGGCTCCACTTGCGCCTCACAAACTATGAAGCCATAGCCGTTATTGTGGTTGAAGCCTCAGCTGCACTCCACTTGCAAAACGTGGTCCTGCTTTGAGTGATGCGAGCTCCGGACTCTTGATGAAGCCGCTGAAGTTGTTGCCAATGATTTGGTCAGCCTCTACCTGGAAATTGTCGCCGCCCTCTGCCTTCCTGACAACAGCAGGCTTTTTACATGAAGCCAGGTCTGACGTGCGAGAGTCCTCTTCATGGGCGGCGTTTGCGGCGCATTCCACCTAAGCGGCTCGATCACGCCATATCGCGAAACGCGCAGTTGGGCTAGTTTCAGCCTGAGCCTCCCAGCCCCGATTGCCAGGAATTCGCCTGGTTCGCCGATTGCCAGGGGTTCGCCTGGTTCGCCTGGGTCGCCTGGGTCGCCTCATTCTTCCAGCCCCACGACCTCAGACTCAAGGACGCCCTCTGCGCACTCCAACCCCAAGGCTGGCGCTGTGATGGCGTGGCTGGCGCCCACCCGCCCTGAAACGAGACTGAAACAAATGACCGCAACCGTGCTCGTCCCTGGCCTTGGCACCTTTGGCTGCGCCCGGCCCAGCCATGGCTCCTTTGGCAGCGCCTTTGGCGGCTCCCTTCGCCTCGCAGCTAGCATGGCACCAGTAGTCGCCAGTCAAGGCGCGCCTTGCTTCGCAGGTCGTACGCCTGGCACGCGACTACATAAGGCAAAGGTGCAAAGAGCCAGGGCGGAGTTGCCATTGGACCGAAGGGACATTGGCCAATTGCTGTGAGTTGCAAGCGGCCGGAGAGTCAAAGCGAGGCCACCGAACGGGCGAAGATGGCCAAAGGTCCAAACGGGTGCGGGCGAACCTTGCACGTAACGACGTGCCTGTGGCTTGTTGTCTTTGTTCAGGGCCACAGCGAACGAAACCTGGCGAGTGAAATGGTGGGAGAGTCTCTACAGCATCTCAAGCCTCCTCGCCCACCGCGAAATTGCCCAACTGCTGGCTGACTAAGAAGACATCGTTCCCAAAGACCTGCGAAAGATCAACTCCCTGTCAGGCTCTGGGTCCCTGGGTCCCTGGGTCCGGCCTTCTGCAGGTCCTCGCAAGCTATGAAGCCGAAGCCCTGAGATTGCCGCTTGTGACGGGTTGCCCCACTTCCCCACTTCCGGTTTCAGAACCTTCGGAACCGCCCCCCGTCCCCGCCCCGTGCGCCTTGTCCGCGTTGAAGGACTTGATGAAGCCCTCGGAGCGCTGCTCCGTCAAGGCCTCGAAGCCCCCGATCCGACGCAGCAACCGAAGGTCCGAAGGCCGTTCCCTCGGCGCCCCGGCCCGGATCGGCGGGTAGGTGAGGTCGGGCACTGAGAAGGTCACTACAGAGGGGGCCAGCTCAGGCCTCTGACTGAAATGTAGAACTGACAACTTACCGAAGTCTTTGTCTCGTGTTTCTTTTTCCATGTTTACTTCTCCAGTTGTTCTTCTGTTCTTCTGGTGGCTTGCTATCTTGCAGCTGTGACGCCGGGACTCGAGGACGGAGCAAATCACACTCACTGCGGACTGCTCGTCCAATGCCCTGGAAAAGGGTGCGCAGGGCTACATTGCTAGAATGTTCAATCCAAACAAGATACTGTCAATGCGAAAGTCGCCAAAGCGTTCAAACACAGCACAGCGGAGCCTGCACTCTGTTTGGCTCACACTAAGCTGGCTGCGCGACCGAATCTGCCAGAGTCTGCAAATCCTGGAGCAGCTCAGACCAGGAAACAATTTGGCCACTGATTTGGACTTTCAGGTCTAACTTCATCAACCAGAAACACATTGGCCAGGTGTCACCAACTCCTCTGCACTCTATCTGGGGTGGATCTCAAGGATGTGTTTTGAGACGGTGCCCGCATTGCAGATTGCAAGTGAAACCACGTCCTGCTCCATGGCTGATCACGCCCAGCGCACTTGAGCCAAGTAAAGCTGAGGCTACAGTAAAGATCTTACGCTAAGCAGCGCCCGCCCGCTGGCTGGAGACATCTGGAGACTACTACGATGTCCTGCGGCACCACGTCGCTCACCGCGGCAACGGCTTCAGCTTCCTTGGCCAAGCCAAGGCTCATGAGTCCCGTGAGTCCGTGCTGTGGCTGCCACCCCCGACGCGGCCGGCTCTTGCACCTGGAGCGTGCAACACATCTTGCCAAGTTGCCAAGTTGCCAAGTTGCCAGCCTCCTCCTTCAGCGCCATAATTTCTTTGTCCTTCCAAGAGAGAATAAAACACTCTGAACGGGAGTGGCGTCCGGTGAACTTCAGCAACTCTTTGGATGAACGGCGGAAAGAGTAAAACGGACCTTCTGTGCCATCTGCTGCAGGATGTCAGGCACTTCCTCTTCTTCGACTAGCCAAGGCACAGCACAAGGCTCGGCTGACATCAGGCTGCGTTTTGCAAGGGTCCAGTTCAAGGCAGAAATTCAAGCATCTCAAAGTGTCTCACAGTACACATTGCCTTGCACTTTGCGGCGCTTTCGAGGGGCCTGCAGTTGATGCCGAGCCAAACACATCTCCAAATGTGTCCCAACAAGTTGTTGCGTCATGCTCTGCGGGCACCAACATGCCCGACTCGGAGCCAAAGGCCACATTATGCCTGCTGCTTAACTGCTTGTTGGTTCAATACAATGGCCAGGGAAGGTGATGGATCCGCGGAGTCAGCAGGATGTGCCATTCGCCGTCAATTACCAAGGTCCCTGAAGCTGTTGTTTCTCTCTCCGGGTGCCTCTAACTTTTGGCCACATTCAGATGAGCGACTCTATAAACCTCCCATGAATCCCTATGTCGTATCAAGTTGCTTACGCGCAAGCTTGCGCTTTCCTTACGCGACCCATGTTTTAGCTTACGCGGGCAGTCAGACAGCATGTAAAGCTTACGCATCGCTTACGCGTCGGCGTTTTGAGCGTTTCCCCTCAAGAATTGCTTACGCGGGCTTCTTTTCCCGTGCAGCCGCCAGAGCTGTTGAAGATGATGTGGATGACTGTGTGGAAGAGATGACGAAGAACTGCGCTCGCGAGCTTGAGCAGCTTGGCGTTGTTGTTTTTGCTGCAAATCAAGAAACCGGTTTTTGCGGTAGCGGCATCCATCACGACGGCTAGCGGGCAGCTGAGCTAGGCGAGCTTACGCGAACCTTACGCGCCTGCTTACGCGAGCTTACGCGCCCGCGCCCCTGTAGTTTTCCTAAATCAGCGGCTACTGAAGCCTTTGTTTGTCCTAGTGGAGGTTGCGACAGCACCTAGCATGAGCCCCAAGAGCTCCCAATCAAAGTTATGCTTGTTGTTTTTTCCCCTAATGGTGCGCACATGCGGTCTTAGACGTCTTCTTGCAGGCAAAGTCCTCCGGGCAAGTTGCCAAGCTCGGCTAGGTTGCAACAGCACAAGCCACCAAAAAACGCATAAGCACATGTGGGACAACTCTTCCGAGCATGCTTACAAAGCTTACCAAGCAATCACGAAGAAGAGCTTACGCAGGTGCTTACGCAACATGTTTCCCCAAAAAGTGCTTGCGCCCGCTTACGCCGTGCAGGCTTTTGCTTACGCGGGGCCTTGTTATGACACAACTCTTGCTTGGCATGTAACGGGGGTTTTTTAGAGCTGCTCAGATGCCTCCAGCTGATCCGCTGGCACTGCTGCAGCAATGGCATCTTCGCCAGAGGGTGCAGGCCGCTTTGTTCCCTGGAAAGTGCTGAGCGTTGTGCAAATCGCTTGGAAGTATCACCATGGCATCCTTCCTGCCTGCTGCTCCAGTGAATCCAGGATGCCCTTATCAATGTCCTGCTCCAGGAAAGGGCCGCATGGCAAGGACCATGCCAACCGGTAATGCGAGTCCTTCGCAGCTTCCCAGAACCGGTAATCCCGTACCTCCGGCCATATACTCTGACGGCCTTCGAGTACTACTTCCCGCCTGGCGACCCGCCCGGTGCTGCCGCTTGAAGTTGGCGGATGGCACGTCCAGAACCGTCGCCTGCGGTTCAGACACGAAAGCGTTGGCCAAACACATCCTTCGCAAACACGTCCCTCGCCCTTTTCGTCCCTCGCGTCCTCCGTCCGTCCCTCGTCCGTCCTGTCCGTCCCCTCCCACCTGTCGGAACTCGATCATCCCTCGGCTGGCTCGCCACAGCCCCGGGCCCGGGTGGGCCCCGGCCTCCGCTCTCACTCGCTCTCTCGCTCGCTCTCTCTCGGCTTCTCAGCTCTCGATCGCGCCTCGAAGCCCTCCAAGCAGCTACTCAAGGACTTGCTGGTAGCCTCCCACAACCCAAACACGTCTCGTCGCTTTGGAAAGTCTTCACCTGTGCATCTGCAAAGATGCACATGCACTTGTCATCCGCAATCCATTCCACACCTGGGTGAAGGTCACGTGCAAAGCGCTCTCTTTGCCTCTGGGCCCCCAGCGCTGAAAGTTGGGCAGCCTCTTCGATGCAAAGACCTGTCAAAACCTTTGAAACTGGTTCTCAATCTCAATGGTTAACTTGCCTCCCGAAAGCTCTCGGAAACGGTGCGCCTCAGCCAGGTGCTTGCGTGTCAGCCGCTGCACGCCTGCCCGAGCGCACTTTTTGACTCGAGTCAACAGACGTTTAAAGCCACGAAAGCGCACGAGTTGACCAAGCACAAAAGCGTTGAACAAACCATAGCAGCTCATAGCAACTTATAGCCAGGCGTCCTTGCCCCTGGCTTAGCAAGGCCTTTTCAATCTGACTCATGCCACCGTCTCTTCTTGCGACACTTGGGAGTCAAAGAAGATTGCGAGCTACCATAGCCATGCAAAGATCTTCGTGAACAATTGCAAACTAAAGAAACAACATACAAACTTCTCAAACAAAAATTGCGTCTTTGCTGGTCGTGAGACTCACGCACTGCAAGATGCAGGTGGCCCCTGCAATGTCTGCAATACGTTCATTATCATACGAAGCACCGAAGCACCGCTCCTTGGGAGCATGCCCCAGGCCGACCAAACTCATTTGACCCTTTTTTGGCCTCAAGTTCGGCTCCCCAGAAGGGAGCCTTGACCCAACCTGTCCAGCCCCATTCCAGTTCTGGTCAAGCTGGGTCACTGCATCTTAATTCTGACCTGGGCGGTTTGCATCTGCGTGTTGATGGACTGGAAGACAAGGTCGCGGTCAGTCTTCTGCCGGCTCAAGTCTCGAACGCGTTGGTCCCTTTCTCTCACCACCATCCGTTCCCTGGTAAGTCCTACGGAGCAAACGCAGAGTGGAGTCAAGCTTCCATGTCACAGGCGGCGCTTGTGTCTTAGCCTAACGGGCCTCCTCGTCACACGGTCTTAACACCAACGAGAGGCACAGGTGACACTTGGTAACCCGGAAGTCCTTTGCCCAGATCGTTGAAGCGGCTCTGAATCCTATCCACCTGAGAGGCAATGCAACTGACATCCCTTGATATTGCAAGTGCTATGATATTGAAACCGAAACCGAAGCCGATGCGTCCCTCGGTCCGAAACCCCGACTCCGACTCCCTCCCGACTCTCCCGACTCGACCGCGCGGCCAGTCTCTGCCTGCTGGATGAGTTGACGTATGCGGGCGACCGCCCTGGTGGCCCGCACCGTCTGCTTCTGGATCACGCAGATCAGCTGACACATGTCCATACCTTCCGAAAACTAAGACTATAATTTAAGAACCCGAACGAGGCATAGTGAATATAGTGAAAGGGGTGAACCTTGGGCTTGAAAGATGCTCGAAGCCCTTCAAAGAAGATCTTTGCCTCTTTCTAATTCGAGGCGCTCTTGGCCTTGCCCTTGGCCTTGGCCAGGCCCGCGATGAACTCGGTGGGGGTGATGCCGTCGGACTTCTGCTCGTCCAGGACCCCGAAGAAGCTCTCCGCCTCCTCCTCCGTCAGCCCCATGAGCTGCAGCTTCTGGTTGATGGACTCCGTGCGGATCAACTTGCGGAAGGCCACGGAGGTCAGGCGACCCTGCAACCCGATGCTGTTCCTCGGAAGAGAGATCTTCAGAGAGCAAAAACAGAGGAAACCTATGGAAACCTTTCACATGCGAGCTCACACGCATTTAGAGCTTCGAGAAACATGTTCGGCCCGAACAACTTTGGCCCGGGTCCTGATGTCGTCGTGGATGGCGCTCAGGAGCATCTCATGCACCTGGTCCTGCAACTTCTCATGCATCTCCTGGGCATCGCTAGAGAGGTTGGCGACTTTGTCCACCATGATGCCCACCAATAAATTGATGACCCCGAAGTTCAGGCCGAACAAGGTGCCCACGATGGTGATCAAAGTGAGCGGCGAGATCTCGATGAGCTTCACCGCCACGTCCGTCCACTGGTCCAGCGTGGCCAGCTGCATCACCGTGATGGCGGAGCGGTACATGGAGCCACAATACATGCGCGCCGCCGGCCAGCGGTCCAGCGCGTAGGGGTCCGACACCAAGGACGTCAAGAACACCGCCAAGGCAAAGATCAGGATGGCCGAGATCACCGTGAGCTGGACGACACTCTCCACGGCGTCTGCCAATCCCTTGCAGATCAGGAACAGACCCTTGTGGTTGCCCTCGGTGAGCCGCACGATGCGGACAAACCGGAAGACACGGATGGTGGAACCCAGCTGAACGCGCTCTCTGTAAGTAGATCCAGATGTGGCCACGTCCAGCCAGCTTGCCACTACCAAGGAGTAGTCCAGCAAGTTGAGCAAGTCCTGGAAGTAGCCCCAGGACTGCTGATTGATCCGCACAAGCATCTCGAAGGTGAAAAGCAAGCAGAATAGGGCTTCGACCTGTCCAACATTGTTCATCTTGTTCAAAGCCAATGCTCTAGCCGGAGCATGACATGAGCGTCCACAAATCCCCCAATAAAAAACACCAGGCATAACCGGCATGACCGGCATAACCGGCATAACTTGCCATTTGCCAAGGAGCAATGACAAAGCCAATTCGATCCCAGGCCACGACCTCCTGAGCCGCGTCCACCTCAATGCCTACGATCAGGCTGTTCACCAAGACCGCAACCGTGATGAACGCGTTGAAGCCCGGCTTGTTGGCCAGGTGCCTGGCCTTCCAGGCCATGTCCTGCGCGAAGCGAAAAACGCTGCGAACGGTGCGACTCGCCTCGTGTTTGGGTGAATTTCGGAAGGACGAAAAACACCAAAAGACCGAGGAAGGACTACATGGGAGTGTCGTTTGAGGATGGTTTCAAAGGGATTTTGGTCCAAGGAAAACCCCACATTTTGGGATCAGAAAGACGACCTCGAAGTCGATCGGCGGTCCTGCTTGTACTCGGGGTTGTACAAAGTCCAAACGGCGGGGAAACCCGGAGCCTCATCCTGAAACTCCGCTCGGATCTGCTCGCGGATCGACGCCAGTCGCCATCGCCGAAGCATGCGGAAGGCCCAAACGGATACACCGATCCGGTCGACTCGTTGAAGTCGTCCTTCTTGTCCGTGCAATAAAAATTGCATATATGAATGAGTTACACGCTTCTTTTCAACAGTGTGTGTGTGCTCTCAATGTGTCTCGCTTCGGGATAGGGCATCGGATAGGGCCACATTCCAATGCTCGCGGGCTGCGGTACGGGTGGACGCGCTCACTACGTGCCAAGTCTTGGAAAAAGCTTGACAAAGCCATCAACACAGTGCATCACGAGTTTCTACGGGGAAGGCAGGCATGCTTGGACGAGCCTGACACGAGGATAGCATCTGGTCGAGGTTCTCCCTGAGTCACACTGCTGACTCTGCTGCCTTCCCATAAGGCATCAAGGGTCCACTCGCCTTTGCCCGCTCATCTGGTTCCTCCTTGGCTTCTGGCTGCAAACCTGGCTGTTGAGGTCTTTTCTTGGCATATCTTGGCAACTCGCCTTCCCGGCCTGCCACTCCGTGTTCTGCCTCTTGGCCCTCTGCTTTGGTCTCCTCCGAAGTCGGGCCAACGCCAGGCAATGCCGGCAGCGAAATTCCACGCTGTGCGCCAGTAGACAGCCTCTCGCGCCTCGTCACCTCCAAAGTCTGGAAGCTCCTCATCAGCATCCTGTCACGCGAGTATGAGGCGTGGGGCCAAGCCCTTTGAACATGCAACTAAACAACCGGTGTTTGAGAACAGAACATACAACCTCCTTTGGGATTCATACCTGTATAAATCAATCTGGCACTGCTCACAAGCTGCCCTCGGTTCATGTCACACCTGAATGTCCCTCCAAAACTGACATGGACATGACTATCTGCCAAGCAATCTTTCGACGGAAACGAAGTCGACTTGCACTGCACCGAGCCTGGGTCTTGTTTGCATCAGCGGCATCCTGCCGAAAGACCCAGCACACGGGCGGGAAGGAAGCTGCAAACTGGCCAAACTGGCCTCGATCTCCGTCTTTACATCGGCCTTAGGAGCCGAGTGGTCGGCTGTTCGGCTTACATCGCTGGGGACCAGGCAGGTGGACCCGCCGGCATGGTGAATTCGCATTGGGCACGGCTCAAGCTGCGCGCTATCCGCTAAGCTGTGCTTCACGATATCTGGCCTGCTGCATCATTAGCGATCCATAGATCCATGAGGGCTGGGATTGAGAATGCACGAAGTGGGTCATCTGTGGCATTGCTGCAAACTCCGGTCAAAGATCAAGGGCTCACGGCGTGTTCGAAGCTACGATCGTACTCTGAAGCCATTGCGCCTCTTTTCCCGGTCAATGTATGTAGCCTTCGGCCCAAGTCCAGGCCCAGTCGCGTCCCAGTTTGTGGACGCAATCGCGCAAAGCTCTTTCCGGGGCCAAAGGAAGTCCAAGGGGTTGCGAGTTGCTTTCTTTGAATTCCACGATGTCAAATCTTGGAACATCTTGCAACATCTTGGAACATCTTGCAATGCACCCGCAATGCACCCCTTCTCTCAGTCGTCGTCCGCCTCGAGCTCGAGGCCACCTTCGGTGCCAGGCACCGGCAGCCTCAAATGGCTCGATGCTCGATGCCGAGCTGGGAACGTGGGGCGGCAGCCCGGAGCTGGCGATGTACTCCCGCAGCCTCAGCGTCTCAGCGTCGGGTCTTTGGAACGAGTCACTGTCAACGTCGAGTCACAGTCAGACCGGGTCTGAGCAGCCAACACCTTGACCTCGTCCGTCCTTCTCTTCAGGATGTCCTCAGGATTCGGTTCTGAAACGTGCATTGGTTCAAGCATTGAACTGCAGGTGAAGAAGTGAAGAATGTACAGTGCGAATTCACCACTGGCAAGGTTCCCGCGATCGCACTCCTGCCTTGAGGTCGCGGAACTGCGACGAGGCGCCCACGTGCTGGGAGCCAAGGCATGGGAAGGCTATCCGGCAGATTCAGCGCACCTCCGAGAGCTGGTTCTGAGAAAGTGCCACTTGAGCACCCGCCTGAGCACATCACGGCACGGAAAAAGAGCAAAAAAGGCGACTGGGCCCCGGCGTGATCCAGCTGCTCGGCCAACTGGGATCTCTCGGCTGCCAACTGAGAGGCCTGGAGCTAAAAGCTGGAATGCGACACTTCAAGAAGTAGATGGGTCTTGCGGGCCAAATCTGCCCGCTTGCGCTGAAGCAAGACTGCTGCAACTCACTTGAGAAAGATCAGACCCTGCACTCTTCTAGCTCAGACCCTGCACTCTTCTAGCTCGCTTGCTTCAAAGGTTCTAGACGGCGCTCCGGACCATTGCTAACTTGCGTCACTCTTTTGAACTCAAAGTGCAACGCCTGCCGAACCTCCCCTCGCCCCGTGGTTTTGGGGCCTGGAGCTGCATTTGCGAGAAGCGCTCTCGGAGCTGAGCGTTCTCCGCCTCCAGCTCCTTTCACTCGGAGCCGCGGCATGCAACCGGCGAATCCGAATGGGGGTGAGAGGCACAGCAAACGGCAAAATCGTGGGCAAAGCGATTAAGCGCCGAGATCAGAATCGACCAAGAGCTTGTCAGAGCAGTTCGCAGATAGGCAAAGCAGCCACTCGTATTGTCCCAAAGCGAAACATCCGGCGTTCCGTTTGATGCAGAATTTCAGTGGCTGTCGCCATGGAGATGCATGTCCGCCAATCGCTAACTCTTTCAATCGAGTCATTTCCTGAGTAACGTTCCTTCCGTCAATGCAGAGACCGAATAGACCGACCATGGCGACGTGCGATGCCAGTCCCATATGTCATTTGCCATTTTCTCTCGCTCTTCGACCTCTGTCCTGCATCCTGGCCATGGTCGCCAAATCGGTGGGCGGTCCCAAAGCCGACGGAGGGGGAGGAACCTGCCAGGAACCGAGAGCAACCGAGAGCGGCCGAGAGCGGCGCGGCCGCGCCGCGCCCGTGGCCCGGCTCAGGACCGCACGCCGCCCAGCGAGGGCAGGTTGGCATTGCGCTTGCCAAGGGCAGCCGGCGCCTGGCATTGCGATGCCCAGATTCCCAGATTCCCAGATTCCGGATGTTTCCGGGCTCCGCTTCAATGCGAAGCTTCAAGCTGGCAGTCGTGCGACACCCTGAGCGGCGAAGGCCGCGATCTGATCCATTGAATTCCTCGGTCCAATTGCGGCACGCGCATGACCATCACAATGCGGACAATTGCTTGCATCCTGACTCGGGGCCGTCTTATTCAACTTGGGAAAGCAAGTCGCGGCCCCCATATTGTCAGGCAAAGGCAACTCCGTCAAGTCAGAAATGTCTGCCTCAGGCCTGTCTGCGGCCCGGGCTGGTCCTCAATGGATGTGAGGTCCACGTCAATGGCTACGCCCATCATCTCCCCCTGAGAGAAGCTGCTGAGGCTTCAATGAAAGACTTGACGGAGACCAAGGGACTAGCCCGGTGCAGCACCTGTGAAACGTACACCGCCGAGATGTTCACAAAGCCCTCAGGTCTGCATTTGGAGAATGCCAGCTCGTTAGATACAAGCCGGTGCTGGCTATGCAAAGAGCACGGAGAGGACTCGACCTTTTGTTGCTTTTCTATGAGCGTCGATGCAGCTGGCTACTTAAAGAAGCAAGCTTTAAACCTGGCATCCCCCGGATGTTCTGACACTTTGGTCTACTTGCGATTCTGCAAGTTGCAAAGTGTCTTGGCCTAGCTATTACAGTCTTGCACTGCACACAACAGGGGCCGCACAAGCTTGTGTGCTGTGTGCCTGTCTTCACCCCCAACTGAATGCCGGCAAGCTCGGAAAACATTTGACGCGCTCCTGGTCACACGATAGCTGCCCCCATTTGCCGAGGGATGTCCACCTAAACGGCGCTTCCATTGAGACGTCTGGAACATGCCATGGTCAAGGGAATTGGCGCACTGTCTGAGCGCCTCCTTTCTGAGGGCACCAGTGTGAGAAATGGCTTTGATGCTTATCCTGAGTTCACATCCGCAAACATGCCGGCCACCCAACGATCAGGTGCAAATGCTCAACACGTTTCTGCAGCGTCAGGCGCTTGTGCTTTGTCAAGAATAAGTCCTTGGCAAGTGAGCAATGCTGCATCTTGGCGCAAAAGCGCTAACCTTGCCACTTCTCGATATGGGTACGAATCCAATTCGGGCTTCTTTCGAGCAGCAGGGTCGTCGATGGCTGGTTCTACAGGCTTAGTCTTTGAAGCTCTTCGGCTCCAGCATCACAATGAATGGATGTCTCTGGATGTGTCCAGAGATATGTTTTCTGACGGACGACATCTGCATATATGTCTGCATCGGCTGGAGCGCCAAGATGCGTGCGCGGTTCAATCAATGATCTGAGACATCACGAAATTGCACGAGTCGCGTCCAGTTTGGTAACAAGCCGAGCGGAATGCGTTCCTGTTGCCAAGAGCTACATCTGAGCGCCCCTCTTGGGGTACGGCCTTCCTTGGCATGTTGATGTTCACACAGTTGCGATACGCATACTGTGTGCAGCACTGTGCGAGACTGGCTCTGACATTTCGAGACCTCTGGCGGAGTGGCGAGGCATGCGCCTTGCTTGCACTTCAACCCGTGCAGAAGCCTGCATTTCAATTCAACAAAGCTCGACAAATGCACTGCCCACACGCAACCTGAAGTTCGCCCAAGCGGGACAAACGCAGCGAAGGGGTGAGGGCAAAGTTGCAAGCTGAGTATCCATGAAGCCATAGGCATCATCATGTCCAAATAAATCTGGCTTGCGATCAGCAGTGATGCCCCCACCACCACCAGATATAATGATGGTAAAAGGGAAAGATATTGCCTCAGCTCAGCTCGTTCAAAGCTTCCAAGCAATCTGATTGATCTCCAACGATGATTGACAGCTTGCGAGCAACTCAGGTCGCTGGCATCTCGGACTACTTCATCCTTTTGGATAATTTGCTGAAAGTGCCGATGGCCAGAGATCAGCAAATCGATGCCATACCTGTTTGATGCGCAGACATTTCAACGCCAAAGCTGTTAAATTGCATAAAGCCAATCAACAAGCCTTGCGCCCAAAGTCCTCCAATACTCTACCTTGGTGATCACTTTTGCGGTTGAGAATGAAGCCACTAGCTCACAGTGCTGCAGCGCCGAGTGAGATGTGGCATTGCATCCAAGAAGCATTGTACTCGGGCGGAAAATGACTCACGACAATTTGCCAGTCCTCACGCTTTGCAGCTGGTTGATGTAAGGGGCAACTAAGAGATGTTGTCAGGTATGTTCTCAGTTGTAACTGCACAAACAAAGCCGGTGAGTCAACCAAACAGCCAAGGATCCGCCGCGGACAGTGACAGCCGCTGGTCCAGCCACCTCGGGGACTTCCAATGGCATCCTTCTTGATTGGCCCGCATCCACAACCTTTCTCATGGGAATCCCCTGCCTTGTCTGCAGCTCCCACAGCGTCTTAAACCAGCTGTAGCAGGTTTCCACGCTGTAAGGTCCTGCTCAGGCTACATTGCTGCATACGTCGACGTCGAAGAGAGATGCTCCGAGTCCTGTGATTGGGCACCTTGGCATTCTTGCAATCTATCCACGCTCTCTCTCACGCATCGCAAACCTCAGCCTGTTTGCACGCCTCTTGGTGTGAAAACTGAGTGCAAGGAACGATTGTCCGCCATGGCTTGCTCCGACCCAAGGCAAGCATCCTTCTGCATGCAGCTGCACAAACCAAGGCACCAAGCACCCTCAGAGTTGTGCATGTCGCTGCAAATGTTGTGGGATGATTCGTGCCCGCTCGGCCACGCATTGTGCACATTCGTGTCCTTAGCGCACTGCTCCCATCCCTGCCCTGTGCCCTTCCCACCCCAGCTCTCTGTGGGCTCCGAACTCTGAGCAGCCCGCTACAAAGTAGTAGTCTACAGAGAAGTCCGTATAGCGGGCCTTCACCTCGCAGGTGTGACCATCAATAAGCAGGTGTCTTGGCGCCAGTCTCCAACTGTCATCCGCATGAATACCGCTTAAAACGATCCGCCAACCCTTTGCCAATCAGGGAAGCAGCGCCCTCACAGCCACGCGCCACCTGCAAGAACCTGCAAGTGCCTGTGCTTGGCTCCTTCCAAAGCCGTGCTCTCGGCTAAACTGTTGGCATTGGCGCCGTTTCGGCTGAGTCAGTTGGCTTTGAAGCTGAATCATGGATTCTCAGGGCGGCGTTGGCACAGCGCGTTGGTTTCGTTCGGGCTGGGCAGCCTTCTCAGTCTGCTTGGCCGCCTGCCCCCGTGAACTTGCGCTATTCAAACAAGTCTACCAAGAGCTCAGTCATAAAAACAGCTTCGCGGAGAAGCCCGCTCTAAAGGACGACTCCCACAGGGGCTCAAACCAGTGGCACGGGGGCAGCCTGCAGCCTGCAAGACCGAGCAAATCCTAGACGTGCCAGCACAGGCAACGTGTGCCAAGCAGCATGAGATCCACTTTTGTGTACAACTGGACAGTTGGCCGCGCCGAGCATGCACCTAGAAGAATCCTGAAAATCGATATCCGGCATGTGCGTGTAGATGGGTGGGTGCGGTGCCCCGTTTGTTGTTTTGGTGTAAACATACGGCCTGCGGGGCTCTCTTGCCAAAGGCATCGGCTGTATCACTTGCGCGCGCGTAGCGCGGGAAAGACACGAAGGGGCCAAGAAGGAGGAACCGGCAGAAAGCGAGAACAAAAGGAAGGAGACAAGCAACCCAAACAAGGCAGAAAGGTTGCCAGAGCCAGAGTTTCGCTATTGATGCTCGGTGCGCCCGATCTCCCTTCCCAGTTAGCCTGCCAGTACTGCGCTGGCGTGAGCCACCGGCCCGAACTGCCAGCTGCCCAGGTGTAGAAGATGGTCTCGTGCCAGCCGGAGGTGAATAAGAAGCCTGAGCCAAGCACACCTCGCGCACGTCCCGAATCCAAAGCTGCCGGGCCCCCATAGTCATGGTTGCCCAGCACACCCAGCCACTGCTTCCCGTCCAGTCCACCACCTGAAGTTGAGTCACTTGAGTCGCGACTTCCGGTGGCACTGCATGCGCCTCTGTACATGTCTTCAAAGATGGGCCCCCACCTGCAAGTTGAATCGCAAGGCCAACCTTCAGATATCTTAGATGTCTTAGATCACCACTGATGCCAGCGAAAACCTTCAACGAGGGCATTCGACTCGCAAGAGCTGTTGGCGCCACCCCAGTAGAAGTTGTCTCCTGGCGAGCGAATCTTTCACTGATCACTGGCCAAGCACCCGCCTACGTTGATGATGTAGTCTGGGGGATAGGCCAATGACCAGTTGAACATCTGCGCTGCTACTCTCTGCCTCGGGTTGCGCAAAAACTCACTTCAAGGCAAGCAAAGCAGGACTGCTCCTCCTGACGTCTGGCCCATGTGAGGCGAAGAAGAAGAAGAAGTTTGCAGTGCTGAAGGTGAGATCTGAAGTCAGAGGTCAAGTGTTAGCGCGAAAAGCTGGTCAGACGCTTTGGGAAACGCGGCAAACCAATGCCCAAGGATGCAATGAGACGCTGGAAGCGAATGAAAAAGGCGTCTGTTCTGCTCTGCTCTGCACGAGGCGTCTGCTATGCACGCGTTGGTGCATCCTCAAACAACTTGTCATTGTGTCCAAAAGAAACCGTTGTGAAGAGAAGCTTGGAAATGTCTTGGCCATGTGGCTGTCGTAATTCGAACAGCTGGCAGTTTACAATCCAAACTGGTGTGACGTGGTTGCAACTCTTGCCGGGACCATGACATGGATTCTTAGCTTGCGCACAGCCCACATATCCTAAACACTGCCCAGCTGCTGAGCACAGTTGTCCACCCCATTGACGAAGGCCCGCACCCTCTTGGGAAACAAGTGCGAACGATGATCCGCAGGCATGATGGGCATCCCTTCCTGCCACGGCATGCGCTGCGGCGGGCCCTATTGGACACAAGCAAAGCTGTCCGCGTATTGGACTCCGCCCCAATCGCCTACATGTGATTGGAAAAGAAAGAGCACACACACACATCTACACACATGTTGCAGGCGAGATCAAATCGCACCACAAAGACTGGGACAGCAGCCAATCACGAACACGTGGCTAGCAGTCCTTGGCTTCGCGAAGGTCAACGCCACTCAACTGACATCTGGAGCCTCGCTTCCCGAACTCTGAATAGAGCCTGAGAAACCTTCACCCTGGCGAGAAATGCATTTTATAGCAGGGGTGCATGAAGCTTCCCAACCGGGCTGCGAGTTTCCTATTGCCGCTTGGGCTCTTGTCGAAGCAGGCATCACGCAGTGCCTGGCCAAAGGCAATTCGACCTGCCTGGCCAAAAGCCATTCCCGGCTCCGGCCTGGCCATTGTGTTGCATGGGATCTGCCACTGGCGGCGTTGGAGCATCGAACGCATTGCTCGAACAATCCTGAGTTGGACGGTCACCCTGACGCCTATGCCGCTCGGCGAGATGAGAAAATGCCAAGCTTCGGCTTGCAGCAGTGACTCCGCGAGCCTTAAGAGCCAGCTCATGCCACACGAAAGAATGCCCCGTTGCACTCATGGACTCCGCATAGCATTTTTGCAAATTCCGATCTGCAAGTCTCATAGCGCCTCGCCTCACCACTTGTGTGCCCAGAATAAGCACGAGGAGACATGACATATCTAGCTACGGAGTGGTGTTGGATTAGTTGCTCACAGTACACATAACACGACATGTGGAAAAACACACTTCATGCCAATCGGCGGAAACACAAAAAATATGAGTCACTGGACGCTTGACAAGAACTGCGGTCTCTGTATCACGCACCGGAGTCGAAACGAAGACAACAAACAGCTGCCTAGAAATTCGTGTTTTCTCTGGCTGTGACCTTGTTCTACAGGCATTTGGGCCTGCTACTGCAATCACGTCAAGCATGCAAGAGCCGTGCTCAGCATTCGCTACAAGCAAAGCACGCATTGCATATTGTGCACACGGGCCTCGATGGCCTCTCGCATACTTGATGTCATTTGGGAGTGGTAGGTTTCGAACATTTCCTCGACCTAGGATGCACATGTTGGTCACACATCCCGCTTGCGATTGTTGTGCCTGTGCTCAATGCACGCTGTGAAACCGCATGCGCCATAAAGCGACTTGCTTCCCACGAAGTGCGATATGCTTGGGTGGACCCATGTGGACCCCTTACCCAGTTAGGTTGGTTTCTGTGGGCAATCTTGGGTGGCCCCCAGTCTGACAGTCTTGTCAGTACAGCTTCCAATAAGAGCGCTTCATCTGCTTTGCTGTAAATCGCCTGATCATCGGCCAACCTGCAGGCGAAAGGAACGATGCGTCAGGGAGGGGCGATGATAGCCGGCCTGTCTGAAACAAACTCCGACTTTTCAACATCCCGCTCTGAGAGGAGTCGTTCTCGCTTGGCTGGCGCGCGGGTCACAATGGAATTTCAATTTGTTCACGTTCAGCTCCTGCCTTTGAAGTATGAGATGAATCTCTGCACCTGGGCCTTGTTCAGGTCACTTAGCTCCTGAGCGTACAAACAATTCCTCTTTGCTGAGCTCATGGCTTTCAGGCTCCAGCCGACATGTTTGGGAGGCCTGAGCAACTTCAGTGAATCCAAGTGACTCCGACATGCGCAGTGACTGAGGCCGCTTCAGCAGCCTAGCGCACTAGGACCTGCTTGCAACCCTAGAATGGCCGCGGCAGTCATGCGTCAGATGGGTCAATGACGCCTTGCAGGCGTGCCAGCTCCGTCCCTCGCTCCGCACGGACTTTCGTGAGACGCTCGACGGTGACAGCAGCGCGATTGAGAATTGACAAGGCGCTATGGCTGCAAGTTGCTCTGCAGAGCATCTGCAGAGCATCTGCAAGCCACAGAAACCTCTCTCCGCTTCTGAAGCCCCATCGAGCAATTTCAACAGACTGACTCGTGGCTCACCGTCACAAATTGCAAGCTGGGAGTCGGGACATCTCACGCCCTTGCGAGCCTTGTGCATTTCAAATATTCTAGAATACCAAAAGATCTGGGCTGCACCAGGCATGCAAGGATGGAACAGATTCCCACTCATGAAGGAGCCAAATCCTGCCATGGCTGCGTCTGGACCCCTGCATGCAGCATGTACAAACGACAGACCGGCGTCACCGGATACCGCGTGGATCCGGCGTTCCCGAAGAAGAACGATGTTGAGGCTGCAACAGCCTAGTGTGCTCGCAATGCAAGAAATCACAACGGCCTTTTATCCTTAAGCTTCTGGCAGACATGAACAGCGGATCTGGGCAACTCGAATCACCAAAACTGTCGGCCTCAGCTGCGGATTTACTTGCACAGGAGTGTTCAACTTGGCTGCAGCTTCAAACTTCTGTCTCGAATGCCCAGCTAGGGTCTCTGCAAAATGATTGCCGAGCTCACCATTGTGGCCTTGGCAAAACGCTAAGAGACTAACAGCACTGGCGCTATCAAAGTGATCACGCGCAAAGAACAGCAATCTTCCGGGCCCGGGCGGTGTTTCATCTCGGCCAGTCCCTTGGAAAGGCCGCTCGCCCAGCCTGCGCGGTGCCCGTTCTGGGTCCGTCGAGGCGGTGGATTCGGCAAGCCTCTGTCCAGAGCGCCTCTGCCTGAATGGCAATGCCATGAATGGCCCACGAATGGCATGATGGGGCACATGGATCGCGGCACTGGGCTGCCGCGCAATTTTTGCCCAGGTCGCTTTGCCCTGCGAAAAGTCGAAAAGTCGAGAAGTCGAAAAGAAGCTGGGGACAAGTCTTGTCAACTTCTTCTCAAACGTCGGAAGCCAAAAACGTCGGAAGTCGGACTCGGAGCTCCCGGAGCTCTCGGAATCGGACCGTCGGAAACGGCGCCTGGCCTGGAGGCATCCCCCTCAGATCCCACTGGAGCTGCCTGAGGGAACAAAAAAACCTCTCAAACTCAAAACAAACCGACGCTACGCGAAAACACGGCCCACGGACTCCTCTCCTGAGATTGAGATGTGCAGGGTTGAAGAAAGAATGCGTCTTTCTCAGCCTTGGCATACATGAATGAGTCGTGTTCACGGTCTGTGTGCTATGTGCCAAAAAGGCCAAACAAGTCAGACACACATAAGCCAAGCCCGGCACTTCACATACAGAAAGTGGATGGCGTTGGGGATGATCATGATTGCATACATGATCCACCTAACAGCCACAACTTGCATCACTACTTGCTGACAAAAGGACATCTTAAGTCTCTTGGTCTCAGGTGCGCACTGGTTGGACCAGAGGACAAGCTGCACCAACACCATGTTCAGCATTAACAGGGCAACCAACATGAAGGCCTCGCAAAATGTGCCAGCAGCTGGACACTACCCTGGCTTCACTGGCCTTCGCCCGCTGCGAGTCGCCCAAGATGAACACAATTGGCCATAGTCGCCTTGGAAGACAAACTGTGGCGATCACCGGGGGAAGCCTGGGGCAACTGCAGGCTTGTCGGCATACAGGTATTCTGGGCTGCCTCGGGAGTCCGGGAGACGAGCGCCCAAGAAAGTCGCTATGCAGCTGAGGTCACCACCAGTGCTTCGTAGTAGCGACCTTTGCAAAGAACCACTGCGCCTGCGGGGTGCCGTCCCTGGTTTCTTTCGGCTTTCGGGGCCCCGAAATCGGCCAGTGAATGCTCCGTTCTGACGCTTCAGCTCAGGCTCTCAAGGCCAGAACAAGCTGGGCTCAAGCCGTTTTGCCGCTTGCCGGACGTGATTGCCCTTGCGCCGATGCTTCAATGCCATGATGTAACCCTTCTGCTTCGAGTGCAACTGTCCATTGGAAACGCTGTCATCCGCGCCATCCTTCCAAAGGTGTCTGGGTAACGCAGAGTAATCCCAAGGGGAGGGCGCTTGAGGGCTGTACAGACTCTTGTTGCGACTTTTGCTCAAATATGCTTGCCATATTCTCATGTCTCCCAGATCACCTTTGGCAATGGGTTCATGCCAGGTTGGCATGCCATGTCTTTGTTTAGAAAGGTTCACATGTTTTGCTGGCAGGTGTTCATTCATGCGTGAATGTGGTGCGGCTATCTGAAAATCAAATGTCACGTTTGGCAGTGCTCGAAGCGGCTGCGGGATTTGCTTGGGAACCGAATCAGATCGGGACTGGCACTAGAAGACCATGCCATGTGCCCTGCTTACATGATGTTTGTGGCTGGCTTTCCTCCACTTGTTGCCTGCTTGCTGGATTTCCCATATCTGATCTGTGACATCCTGTAAGGAACGCTATATGATATGCTTCATGTTTGGATGAGTTCCGACCCATGTTTGCATGCTGCAAGGCGCCCTTTATTCATTCGGAATCATGCTCTACTGTTTTGCATTTGAAGCGCCTGGCCAGCCCGTATCTGCGATGGAATACATGGAACCAAGGTTTGCTTCAACCAAAGCGTGTAGTCGGGCTCTCAGCTTAAAACGCCTTAGAAATAGGTAGCCCCCTACCGTGCGTTCAAGAAAATGATTTGTGTAGTCAACAAATCTCATCGTATTGCTGGGAGACGGCGACAATGGTTCCCACATTATTTGGGGGTCTTTGGACGGCGTCTGAGCAACAACTCCAAACTGGCACATGGTGCTAAAATGCTTCATTGGAGCAACGACACCATTCAAACAGGAACTCATGCAATTGCAGCAAGCGCTCGCTGCGTTCTATTACCTTGCGAAGCCGAGAAAGAGGGAACGCTGGTCTTGAGACGGATTCGCGCCTCTTGGATATGGACCGCCGTAAGAGGACCACTCTGCGGGCTTGCCCTGCTTGGGGCCCTCAGCTCGCTTCTCAGGTTTCCAGTTGGAGATTCGGCTTGGTGGAAACCCTTACAGACGGGATCGGGCTTTGAAACACAGCCTTTGCAAGGAGCCATGTCATGACCCGGGCACAAAGGTGGGGCACGGTGGTCAAAGCACCGGGCCGGTTCCGCAATTCGCCGCCACTCGCCCAGCATCCGAGTCCTCAGGTGCCATGGCGTCATTTCACCAGCTGTCGATCAAAGCCCCGGACTGCTGCAACGCCTCTGACCCGAGACAGTGCAACTCCTGCGGTGGACAAACTAAGTAAAATGTAATACAGGAAATAAGTCTCTGTCTCGCAATGTGATGGCAGGAAAAAAAGGAAAAACACACATTGCCAAAGTGTGAGAGACCCTTGGAGTTTGCATGCGAGCAAGTCCAGGCACAGGAAGCTCAGAAAGATGTGCACAGTGACCAGAAAGGTCAAGAACTTGGTCACAGGTCCGAGAAAACTGCTGGACTGCGTGACGGTGGCACACCGCTTTAAAGCGATGCCTGCATAGACTTGAGGTATTGGCCGCGCATCGAGATGTGTCGTAATAAATGTAGTCGTACCGGACGAACCTGATCGATGCAAGTTGCTCGTGGCAAGCATTGGCAAGCCCTCAGCTTTCTCACTCTGAGATGAAATGATGGCATTGGTTTTTGTATTCACGCAACCGGATTCCAGCTATGCTGGGTCAGCCAAATGAAAGCCAAACAAGCAGCATCACTCGAAGTGATACGAACAGCTGCCTCAACGGCAGGACCCCGATGCAATAGGCAGCTTCAAGGCTGTGATAGACACATCGTCTTAGCCTTAGCCGTGCGGCCGTGTGCGGGTTTTAGCCTCGCCGTGTGCAAAAGCTTGGACCCGCAAGTCTCTTCAGTTCCGGTAGCCTGACACGTTTCTCGAATTTTCTGAGCGGAGCATGGTTGCCTGACAGCGAAGTGGGGTCCCGCGCATGTTGAAGAGCTCAGCAGTGAACACATTGGTCTGCGACTTCCTCCGTGCCGGAGTGAATCACAGACAGGATTCTCAGCAAAGCTGAGCTGCTGGCAAATAACCGTGGTAAAAGAGGACACTCAAAAGCAATGGCAACCTGGAAGCCAGGCATCATGCGATGGCCATGAAAAAAGAGTCCTGAGGGTGTCACGCCAAGTAGACTCCCGCGAAAGAGTCCTGGCAGCATGCACTTGGCACGGAGACCGTGGTTTAGCATCGGTTGTGCAAATTGCTGTCCTGCATGGCAAGAGTCAAGCCACAGTACAAAGAATCCACCATAACGAAGAACAGGGTAAGGTGACACCTGAGAATTCCCGGTGAGACTGGCGACAGTGTCCCTCAAGCTATCGGAGTCTTGTGAGGCTCCCACGCGAAGCGAACACCGTGCGCATCCGAGAACTGCGTCATCCGCCACAGGAAGAACCTGCGGCAGTCTGAAGGCGAGCTCCCTGGCTCTCGCCGCAAGGACTCTACCATGCAAGCGTCCCCTATGACATGTAGGCCAATGTAGGGCTTGCACCAAATACGTTGAGCAAAGAAAAACGTGGTGAGCAGGATGAGATGGAAGTTGCTACCTTGGGATGACGTGTCTCAGATCAGCTTAGGAGAACATTTTGTTGGGCATTCAACAAGCGCATGCTGATCTTGCCATGTTGCTCTGGATGTTGAGGCGTGTGATGTTGTAGTTCTGCAGCAGTAAATAGCAAACCTGTCTCAAACACACAGATCACAAGCAAACAAGCACAAGCACACTCTGAGCAACAGCCTATCCAAGCTCTGAACAACTTCGGACTCGGGTTTTCAGGATTCCGTTCCACAACCCCGCCTGTGTTCCCCAGTGAGTGATCTCCCCGAGCCAGTCGTGACTCTCTGTCTGTTGGAGGTGCCGGAGAATGGAGTCCTGAGCCATAGGCCTCTTCATGCCTCTTATCGAAGATTGGACGTTGCGAAGCCAAGGCTGCTGCAACCTTCGCGAAGTCAGGCTCGTAATGCGGCCTGCGGGGGCGCGCAAAGCGAGCAGTGACGCAACGAACGCATCTTGGAGCGTGCCTCTTGTCTGATTTCATGGCCATGCCGGCTCTAGGGGCTGCAAGATGTGAAAGTAAAGAACTTGTGACACATGCCTGCAGCCCTCCTCTGGTGGCATTTCAACATATTCCCGCAACCCTTTCAAAACCTGACAGTATTAGCCGTTTTCCATGGCCCCACCATTGTCTCAGAATCCGCTCATACAGCATGCCATCTCCAATTTGCACATCAAACCCCAAACCGAACCCGCAGGATTCGGGCCATTTGGGCAATGCCCAGCCAGAAGCCTAATTCTATGCACGAAGATGCCTCATTTCGTGTTCACGTGGGATCAGAGCAACGTGACTGGCAAGCCACTTTGAGCAAGCTTGCGGCGGTGCACGGACTGGGTAGCTTCGCGTTGATTGACTCTGTTTCCAGGAAAAAGTTCGCACACTCGGCCACCTTTTGACTCGGGCATGCCCCACACCCACCTTATGGCAGGGATGGGAGCAAGGAGGGAGGCACTGCATGCCGACTCCACACAGCCCGTCTTTGCTGACCCGTGCCAAAATGCCAAAATACCAGAATGCGAAAGGCGCAATTGCGCCAGCTAAAAATTGGACCAGGTGAGACAAATGCCTGCCACAACTATAGCGCACCAGGGCTAAGAGCAAGGAAGGCCACGTTTGTGGCATTCCCTCAGGGTTCACTCTCCTCAACCTGTCAGGCTACTCTGGCACAATCTGAAGCGAGCTCGAATGTCCCTCGAGATCCGGGCCTGAATGGGCCACAGGTCCACCGTTTCTTGGCCGTAGCCACAGCTTGCCAGCCTCAAGCACTCAGAATAAATCAATACCTTCGTGAGGCGCATCAGCCGCATCGGGCTCTGACCACTTGCTGTCTGCGCTGAAGGAAATGCTGCAAAGCCTCAGTGCTCATGCACTGAACATGGAACTGGCAACATGTGTGGTCGCTGGCCAATCGTCAGCCTGCCATCCCCCAGAGTGCCACGTCCCATCTCCCAAGCAAACACGCCTTTGGAAGGTGCAGCACCACTCGCTTGAAAAGAACCTGTGCGTCAGCCAATCCAACTGCGCAAGAGCACTTGCGCTGAGGCTGCCGACATCCCACACAGATACACGCATGTCCTGCGCAAGCTCACTCTGCGCATCTCTGGGTTCACTTTGTCTCTACTCGAATTGCCCCATTTGCTTCTGCTGCTTCTCCTCCCCAGCAGAAGCCAGGAACCGGGAATTGGGAGCCCAAGCAAGGCAGCGGATGCCAGCCCCACAAAGCAGCTCTTCTGCCTGAGAGTGGCTACCCTCTTGGCTTTTTCAGAAGAAAAATAAATCGACCGTTTAAGAGGGAGTCCCCCAAAGCCCTTCCACTTCATAAATTCGGAGCCGGAACCTCCTGGTGCCTCTGCAAAGCTCGAGAGGTTCCACCAAGGCGGACACCTTTTGGAAGCCCTTCCCGACGGACAAAATGGAGATCATCCTGTCCTCCAAGCTGCCAAAAGCTCAAACTGACTTAGGAATCGGAATATGCCGCTAAATTGGTAAGGAGTTGGCACACCTTTGGTCAATGCGGTTGAGCGGGGACCCAAATCGGCGGCATCGGGCAGGTGGAATATGACACACCGCGATGCCCACGGTTCTTGGTGCTGCCTCGGGCAGTGTGACTTACGGCGCAGGGTGTTGATCAGCCAAACATGCTCAGCAGCCTTGGATGCCCTCTGATTCTTTGGCCGAAATTGCCTCACATGCAGTGAAGCTGTGGCCGATCACCGGCACAAGCCTGCATTTGCGTGGGATGCAGAGGGGGCTGGCTGGCGTTCAGATCTTTAGTGCCGTGGGAGACGTTGGGCCAACGTGACCCCAAATGGCAAACCCTACAGACCTTTCAGAAACAGAAGCTGGGGTCCCTTCAGAAACAGAAGCTGGACCAAAGTGGTATGATGGTCCCCGGCGGCCCCGGCGTGCAGCATTTCCGAACATCCCTGTTGAACGGCGGCAACGGAAGGCAAGTCTTCCGGTCTGCGATTTGAGGGCGGAGTCCAGGTTGCTTCAGCTTGAGAGAGGGTCACCAAAAAATCGTTTGATCGTGCTGAGCATGCTGCCTTTGCAACGTCCTAGATCCACACCTCATACTACACTACATGATATCTCAGTCTTGGTGATTTGCCAACACCTCTGAAAGTCTCTGCACAAAGCAACTCATTCAGCTGGCTCAAAAAGAGCGGCATAGCTCTGTGCTCTGTCGCATGCGGCAGTCCTCCCCGGCCAATGCAAGTGCTCGACCAGACGGAGCAAAGGCAGCGGCATGAACAAAGTCCTGAATGCTCGGATTTAAATGATACGTGTTGCTGCGTTTGCACCTGTTTGTTCGCTCGCATCCCATCGATCTGCCCATCTTGTGCTTACGCTCGACTCTTGCAGGGCATGAGGCCTTGTAGTTGATCGTGCTCACCTCGTCCCACACACCTGAGAACTCCGTAGATTTCCAGACCATGGCCTCAAGAACATGGAGTGCCGAAGCTCACCCACCCACTCATGCATGTCATGCGGTCATGCCTGCCTTCATTCCACCAGACTTTGCTTTGTAGTCCAGTAGGCCCGACTCCGTGATATCGATTCCTTGCGAATCATGCGTGGCAAGCCTTGAATTCCCAATTGTTTTACCCAGTGGCTCACAGGGCAAGTGGGCTCAGGCGCTCGCCTCCGGCAGCTGCAAGCATTTTGAGGGAGGGGCAGTAGCTCAGGCTATGCACCTGGCAATCCCAAGCCCAAACCGCCGGAGAGAGGCGGGTGAAGTGAATCCCTCCTGGCCGCCGTGCTCCAGGCTCACCACTTCCTGCAGATCCGGGACCTGCGGCGGAGGCGCCCCGTCCAATCGTCTGTGCGCTGTGGCACTGCGCCGAGGGCTCGACGCTGAAGAGGCGCACCACCCCCGTGGACCCGACCTGTCACTCGGACCCAGCGAGTGAGCGGCGCCGGCCGGCGACAGCGCACGTGAGGCTCGGCTTCGGACCGCCAAGAGGTTTGTGGGCGAGTCGACCGCCTGAGCCCAGCAATGCCAGCATTTTTGTTTGGCAAAGCGGTATCGGGCAAAGCGACGCTCCGGGTGCGTCGCTTGAGGCTCCGGCCGCAAGGCTGTGAAACTGCTCCGGGATGGTCATTTCACTGAGGAGCTCCAGCGTCCTGCCTTTGAAGACCTCGAGATCTGAGATAGCTGCAATTAGCTTGGAGAAAAAACGAGGAAAGCAACGACACACTGGGCTTGCCGCCCTGAGCACCCGCTCGCCATCTCCGCAAAAGACAAACTCCCCGCAGGGGGAGAAAACCACCTCAGAGGCAAGGGCAGCCACCAGAGCACAGAAATTGAAGATCACGTAAAGTCAGAGAGAAGAGGGGCAGCAGCAAGGCGAGCTCGCATACAGGCCAGGAGGACACAAATGATCTCGCCATCGAGCTTGAAGTCCGCTGTGCGCGCACGACCTTTACGCATCAAGTGCCACCCCCGGCTCAAGCTTCACTGATTCACCCGGGCCATCTGAGGACTGCGCTGGCAACATCCCACAGCACCAGGGCTTGGTCATAGCCACCAGCCACCAAGCAAGTGCCGGCTGGGTTGAAGTACAAGCTACAGACCTGCGAGCACTCGACGTGTTGCAAATTGCAACCTGGCAAAAGCCGTCGGCCTCATCCACATGCTTGAGCTTCAGCGGAACACCTTCTTGGCCTCAGAAAAAACATGCGGAGAGGAGAGCAGACTCCATCCATAGGCGGGCTGCAGGCCGCTATGCTGATCTTGCACCTCGATGCGTGGAGGCACGTGGATTCCCCACGCAGAAATGCTAACACTTGAAAGGTTGATGGCCCTTTTGTGAAGCCCGAGTTCCTTTGGCCAGCTCGGCTCGGTGAGGGCAGCGCTGTGTACAGGGATCAAGGCCTAGATCCCGCGCCAAAAGGGCTCTCTTCCGCAGGGATGCGGCTTCAGGGTCCTGTCTCGTCTCAGAGATTCATCTGTGTCTTTGGTCGGATTCACCATGAACAGCTTCAGGAAACATTCGAAGTCGATGCGTTTCCTGTCCACCTATGGAATGCCACCGTCTGCTCATCTTGGCTTTCGCCGTCCTCCTCGTGCTCAGCGGGACTGGCGTAGCCGGAACCTCCGTCCTGACAAGGCTTCCGTATCACGTTTGTCTTTCACACCACGTGACACTGGATATGTTTGGTTCCAATCGCTTCCCGACGTTTCCCTGCAACCCCCATCAGCTTCGCACCAAAAGAGATGCCCAAGGCCCAGGCGTGCGACACGTCGGTCACCGAGATGCGGGGCTTCAGCATCCGCAGCTCGGGCGGTGCCAGCGGCGCTTGCGGCGGTCCGGAGCCCTTGCCTCGCGCATCACTCCCCTCACCCCCAAGCCCCCCTCACCCCCAAACCCCCAAACCCCCAAATACGTCAACATATGTCAACCCCCCGTTCCGCGCCATCAACCTGCCAGTCATCAGGCAGGTCATCCTGGGCTGCAAAGAACCGGTTTGCCAGGCCTTCCCTCTGAGATCCCAGCAGGATGTCCGCCCACCTGGCTGAAAGCTGTCCACCACATGCACCGGCTCCCAAGTCGCAAGCCTTTGGCAAAGGAATGCTCTCCACCAGGGTACCCTCCCGGAAAGGAGTCTCCTCCTCGTGCTCGTGGCCTTGGAAACGAAGGTAACGAAGTGGTGTGTCGCACCGACTCAGCGAGGGGGCGACTCAGCGAGAGGTTGGAGCAGGACCCGGTGGACTTGAGGCGGGTGACTTTCAGCGCCTCTCGACACGATGCACACGACGCACACGACGCACACGACGCACACGATGCACACGTCACAGCCCCACCAACGGCCTGGATGTCGTCCTCCTGGTTGCAACCACTTCCGATCCAAGGCAAACAGACTTCACGCCTCCTCTGCATTTGCATAGGAGAGCTTGATAGAGTGCATGTGCTCAGGAGGTAGCTGTCCAAAACCTGAGGCTACGGACACTGCATCTGACTAATCTGCGCACAAACCAGATGTGCACAGCATCCAAGGAAGAGGCTCAAAGAAGCCGTGGTTCCCCGCGACTTGTACCGGTCCGCATCCTGTGGCACCTGCACAATGGGTATTCATGGCAGCAGCACGTCTTCTTCCTTACTGAAAGATTTGAGAGAGAAAGTGCCTGTTGGATAGCAGCAATGATGTTCCTGTCAAAGAAGTGTGTGACACCTTGATGACTGTGAGCATTCAGGCTGTCAGGTGGGCACAGAAGACTGCGGAGACAGCGGTGCTGCTTGGTTTTTGCCGTTGTGCGACTGTGATCAAGCATGCGAAGCCAATGCTTGACCCGTCCTTAACTGTGCACGGCTGTAGCAATGAGGCATCGCAGACGCAGCCGCCAGGCGACCGGTAAAATGTGGGGGAAATCTTGGAGAGATGGTGCTGCCCCTTGGAAGCAATGTGGAGTCGGCAAGTCGAGGCAGTGTGGAGTCGGCAAAGCTCTCACTGTCACGGGACACCTCAAACTTTCAATCAGAAGGAAAAAAAAGAAGAAGAACAAAAACTGAAAGAGCCCATTCTGACGCCACAATTTGTGTGAGCGTAAGCAACAACAAGGGCAAGGCAAAAGGCAACAGCAGAAGAGATTTTGTCTGGGGCACAAATTCGTCTCCATGCCAGTCCCTGATCCTGCCTGAATGGACGGGCTCGTGGTGACCTGCATCCGCATTTCCCGCATGTCAAGCGGTTTCACAACTCGGACTGCACATTGGGCTTCTCCAGCGGAGCAAATTTTGCTTCATGGTGGTTCCCTTCAAAGCGGAGCTTCGCGAAGAGTTGCACGCCTCTGAGTCTTCCAGCTCGTAGAGGGCAACGCCGCCTTGTGTGAGGAAGGCCAGGGACATGCGCGGCAGGCGCTTTGTCACTGAGCTTGTGGCTGGGGAGGCAGCAGGCCATCAAGGACCCGCTGCTGTTCAGCGAGATGCTGCAGATCTTCTCCTGTGGAATACCAATGCGCCAAACTTGTCGCAAGCCTCAAGCCACTTCTCGTCCTTTGACACGTCAAGTTCTGAGGTCTACCTGTCCTGCTGCCGAGGGAGCTGAAGGACGATCTGGCTGCTGGATACATTGAACACCGACGCCTGCGGTTCAACCCCACACTCCAAAGCGATTTCGTCGAGTCGTCGGGTCACGAGGCCTCCCGCTCCCCGGCAGCGGCCAAAAAGGCGCCGCACCAGGCCAGCGACCGGCAGCAAACCGCGGACCGCAGCTCTGTCCTATCGCAGGCTGAAAAGCGAGGCAAGCGAGGCATGCGGCACGTGTAAGGCTTCCACCAGCACTTGAAGCCGTGGTCTGGCAGCAGCAACACCACCCTGGCATCATCACCTGGGCCAAGCCAACGCAACTCAGTTCTCCAGTTCTCTGTGGCGCCCGGCATCCGACAGCCAGGATCTTCCCTGTGGCGGAGAAGGACGCGCTCCGCGCAGCCTCAAGGCATATGCGTCGGCGGCACATGTGGCCTCTCTCTGTGCGTCCGGGCGCTTCTGGTAACCACAGAGCCGAGAAAAGAAGATTCACCTCAAATGGCACTCTGGATCACTGCGCCAGACCCCTCTGTCCCTTTCTCGCTCTCTCCCTTTTGTCTACCTCTGTCTCTGCTAGTCAGCTTCCTGAGGTCAGCTCGGTCAACTTGCCATAGTGAGACGGTGCCGCTGATGTCATCCCCTGATTGCAGGCTTTATGTCCAAATCAGACTTATATCGCCGACCTCCAACCACTGCCAGCACGTCCCCACGGGGCGAAAAGCACAGACTGTTGGCCTGTGTCACTCATATCGCTCCGATGTCTGCCTTTTCTTCCCGTCTGGATGCGTCCGACAGCGCCGTTGCCACAGTTCCGGGGCGAACAAACCATGCATCAAGGGCATGCAGCCGAAACAGCATGAGTGCATGTGTTTGTAAGCGCGCGTGTGTGTGTGTGTGTGTGTTCTGCTGTGTTGTCCGTGTGTGTGCGCTTGCGCTTGCGCTTGCGCTTGCGCTTGCGGTTGCGCTTGCGCTTGCGCGCGTGCGCGTGCGCGCGCGTGCGCGTGCGCGCGCGCGTGTGCGCGCGCGCGCGCGCGCGCGTGCGCGTGCGCGCGCGGGCGTGCGGCGTGCGGGCGTGCGCGCGCGCGTGCGTGCGTGCGTGCGTGGGTGGGTGGGTGTGTGTGTGTGTGCGCGTGCGCGTGCGTGCGTGCGTGTGTGTGTGTGTGTCTGTATGTCTGTGTGTCTGTGCGCACGCACGCTTTGCAGGTTGTGTGTGTGTGGGGTTCTTAGTTTGTGCGCCGGCGTTTGTGTGTGTGTGCGTTTGTGCGCTTATGTTGCGTTGCGTGTGTTTGCCTCTTTGTTTGTGGTTGTTTGTGGGTGTTGGCGGTTGACTGTGGGTTTCTGTTTGATTGTGTGGAGTTGTGTTGCTGTGTCGCTGTGCTTTGGCGCTTGTGTTTCTTGTGTGATGGTGCGTCTTCGCGTGTTCATGTGCGTGATATTGTGTGTGTGTAGTGTGTGTGTGTGTGCGATCCGGGTCTTGTATTTCTGCCTATGTGTTTGTGCATGTGCGTTCGACTGCGTTTCTGTTCGTGCGATTGTTTCTTTGTGTGCCAGTATATGCGTGTTGGCGCGCCCGTGTTGCGCTTTGTGTCTGGTTGAGTGTGTTGGCGCCTGTTGCGTGTGCGCGTGCCCCTGCGCGTGTTTGTGTTTTTTTGCGCGCTGGTGTCTTTGTGTGTGTGTGCTTGGTGGCTTGCTTTTGTTGACTTGTGATGGCCCGTGTCTGTTGTGGTGCGTTTGTGCGCTGCGTGTTTTGCGGTTGTGTGGTTGCTTTTGTGCGTGTCCCTTGTGTCTTACGTGTGCGCGCGCTCTTGCGTTGGTGTGTGTATGTGTGCGCGCGTGTGTGCATGTGTGTGCTAGTCTGTAGGCTCATGTGAGCAACTTGCAAAGCCTCTTGTATAGGAAAAGGACATTGGGTGGCAGGTAGCGTGTTTTTTGTGTAACCCGATCGTTTTACAGCGTTTTGTGCACTTTGCCACTTCGCAAGGATTGACGTCCACTTTGCCAGATCGAAAGTCGCAACTGTTCAGTACAAGTGTAGAGAAAGAAGGACTCTTTGGCATCGCTGCCTCGTGAGGGACAACTGTTCAGTACCAGTGTAGTAAAGGAAGTACATTTTAACAACTCCGGCTCAACTTTTTCAGTACAAGTGTAGTAAAAGAAAGTACACTTTGGCAGCTCCGGCAGCTCCGGCTCGAAAGTCGCAACTTTTCAGTACAAGTAAGGACTCTTTGGCATCGCTGCCTCGAAAGGGACAACTGTTCAGTACCAGTGTAGTAAAGGAAGTACACTTTGGCAGCTCCGGCTCAACTTTTCAGTACAAGTGTAGTAAAGAAAAGTACACTTTGGCAGCTCCTGCTCGAAAGTCACAACTTTTCAGTACAAGTGTAGTGAAGGAAGTACACTCTGCTGCTCATTTCCTTTCATAAGGGTAGTCCCGTACACAAAACCATGTTTACTCGGGTATCGTTTCTTCTTGTAACCCAAAAGTTGTGCAGTCTTTTGGCCTGCGCGGTCGCTTGCGTGTGTTGCGGTTTGTGTCTGTTTGTTTGTCTGTATGTTTGTGTGCGTGCACGCGTGCTTGTGACTTTCTGTGCGGCAGTTAGTTTGTGAGTTTGAGCTTGCGTCCGTGCGCTCGCTTTTGTGGTTGTGTGTTTCTGTGTTTGTGTGGTTTGGGGGTTTGCGGCTTTGTGGGTTGGTGCATGTGTGGGTGTGTACGTGCGTCTGTGTGTGTGGGTGTGTGTGTGCGTGCTTGTGATTGAATTTGTGTCGTTGTGTTTGTGTTGTTTGTGTTGTTTGTGCGAATTTGTGTCTGCGCCGGTATGATTTGCTGCCGTTGCACATTATTGCACTCACTCGTAGTTTATCCTGGTCTGTTTGTTTGTTTGCTTGCTTGTTTGCTCTAAATCATTTGCCCTTCTTTGCGCGAAGGCGTATCTGTGATTTTCTTTGGTTGCTTGATCCCTGTGTCTGTGTGTGCGCGCCTGTCAGAGCGTGGCGCGTGTGCGTGCGCTTGTGTGTGTGTGTGTTTCTGTGTGCGCGTGTGTTTGTTAATGCGTATGTGTGTGTGCGTGTGCGTGCGCGTGCGCGTGTGCGTGTGCGGGCGCGTGTGCGTGTGCGTGTGCGTGCGGGTGTGTGCGTGTGTGCGTGTGTGCGTGTGTGCGCGTGTGTGCGTGTGTGCGTGTGTGCGTGTGTGCGTGTGCGCGTGTGCGGGTGTGTGGGTGTGCGGGTGTGCGGGTGTGCGGGTGTGCGGGTGTGTGTGTGTGCGTGTGTGCGTTTGTCTGTGATTGTGTGTTGCGCGCAAGTGTGTATGTGAAGATGCGTATGTGCGCGTGTCCCTTGTTGTGCGTGCGAATGTGCATGCGCGCGTGCGTTTGCGTGCGCATGGGCGTGCGCATGTGCTTGTGCCTGCACGTGTGCACGCGCGCACATGCCTGTGCATGTGCGTGTGCGCGTGTGCGTGCGTCTGTGCGTGCGTATGGGCGCAGGTGCGCGTGCGGGTGTGGGTGTGGGTGTGTGGGTGTGGGTGTGCGTGTGCGTGCGCGCATGTACTTGTCCGCTTGTACGCTTGTGTGCTTGCACTTGTGTGCGCTTGTGTGGGTGTGTGCGTGCGTTCGTTCGCGTGGTGTGGTGTGGTGTGATGTGGTGTGGTGTGGTGTGGTGTGTGGTGTGGCGTGGTGTGGTGTGGTGTGTGGTGTGGCGTGGCGTGTGGTGCGCGATGCGTGGTCTGTAGTGCGTGGTGTGGTGTGTGGTTTGACGCCTGCTCGTGCTCCAGCACATCTGCCTCCTGCCAGCAGGAAGACTTCTCTCCATGGTTCTGAGCGCACGCGAGGCCTTGTCGTCCGTGATGTGGAAAACGAGGACCTGCCAATTCGGCCGGAAGCTGAAGCAGCTCACAGAGTTTGTTCTGGAGAGCCCAAGGCCCAAGGTTCCAGGCAGCTCCCAAGCTGTAACTGTCCAATCTGTCGCTCACAAAGGCTCGTTGGCCCCTGGTTTCACAATTTGATTTGGACACAGCGTGGGCTATCATGGGCTGCACCCTCTAGAATGGCGCGCCGGGTGGCCAGCTTGCAAACTCAGACCAAGCCAATCAACAAACGCGCAAGACGAAGCCAAGGTAGTGCGGCTCAGTGCACGGATTGGGACCATAGTGGCTATGGAGCTCATGACAATGGCTCAAAATTGCCCAAACATCAGATGTGTTCATAGAGAAAGTTAACTCCAGGCCGCCTCCGTGTTCCGAAATGCGCCAGCTGCATTGCCCATTACAGGAGAGTAAAATGCGAGGTGCAGAGGAGAGCCCGGGAGCCAATACATCGTCAAGAGGTGTCCTGGCCTTGTGCTCAATGGTTCCAACTGCCAGCATGTGGTTGGCGGAGAAGGCGAGCGAAACAATGTTCGAAGTGACCTGCGAGAGAATCTTCCAAGATGTCCCCGGCGAAAGCGCGAGAACTCGTGCCTTGCGGCTCACCACGACCTCCTCGCCCTGCGCCCCCAGCCGATACACCTCAGACCCCGGCCGGGTTCACGCCCGAAGACACGAAGCAACGAAGAAACCCGAAGAAACCCGAAGAAACCGTCGCCCAGCGGCAGTGAGGGCCAGCGCGCTGCCCAGCGCCAGGTACCCGCCGCATGGGGACACGGCCAACGCTTTGGCCGCGTCGCGAAGATGGATCTCCCGCAGCTTCGCACCCGCCACCTCGCATCAAACGGAAAATCTCACGTCCAAAACTGGGCATGTTTATGGCCATAGACATCAGTGCCGCATAAAACAGCAGCGTTTCCTGAAATTGCCGCAGTCTGGAGGAAGAAAAGAAAAAAACAAGCAATCTTGCCCGGGAGATGTTCTGTAGTTTGTTTGGCTTGCATAATTTGTCCTTGAGGTTTGTTGCATGTTGCCATTTTGTGGCACGCGCATCGCCGTTTTGTGAGCTTGCTTAACTCTGTGAGGAGTCAAGAGCTCCGAGCATTCAAGTCTCGTGCCAAAGGGCAAGCTAACAGAAGCTACAAATGCTGTAGGACCATTCTAGCCATGTGCTGACAAGAAGCTAGGAGTAGAATCTGGCTAAAATAGATACATTCTAGACGCGACACACATGCATCATACATGCGATTGGATGCTGCAATGTCCGCCGACCCTTTCTCTAAAACGGGGAGGTGCACGGGAAGGGTGGTTGGCGCATAAGTATAACCAAAGTTTCATCCTCATCAGCATGAGCAGCTACGATGATTGTTATCATCACAGTCATCGTCATCATCGTCATCCTTATCATCATCTCTTTCTGATTCTTTTATCCTTATCATCATTATCATCATGGTCGTCGTCATCTCTTATCAGGCATGCTACGATGATATTTATCATCACAGCCGTTAGTGATGCCAAGGATGCTACGATGATAACTATCCGCGGGTGATAACGATCATCACGCCCCTGCCATTATCATCATGGTCGTCGTCATCTCCTATCACGCAGCATTGGTGATGCAGAGGATGCTGCGATGATAGTTATCATCACAGCCGTTAGTGATGCTAAGGATGCTACGGTGGTAGTTATCATCCTTGTCATCATCTTTATCATCGTCTGACCATCACCTAGCATCATCTAATATCTTATTATATATAGACATCAAAAGGGACGTTAGACATCCTTGACAATGCAAAGGATGCGATGATGATAGCTATCAAGGAACAAGTAGTGATGCAGAGGATGTTGTGATGATAGCTGTCATGATGCGGATGATAACGATCATCACGCCCGTGCCATTATCATCATGGTCGTCGTCATCTCTTATCACGCAACATTGGTGATGCAGAGGATGCTGCGATGATAGTTATCATCACAGCCGTTAGTGATGCTAAGGATGCTACGGCGATAGTTATCATCCTTGTCATCATCTTTATCACCGTCTGCTCATCACCTAGCATCATCTAATATCTTATTATACATGGAAACCAAAACAAACGTTAGACATGCTTGGCAATGCAAAGGGTGCGATGATGATAGCTATCAAGGAACAAGTAGTGATGCAGAGGATGTTGTGATGATAGCTGTCATGATGCGGATGATAACGATCATCACGCCGCTGCCATTATCATCATGGTCGTCGTCATCTCTTATCACGCAGCATTGGTGATGCATTATCATCACAGCCGTGAGTGATGCTAAGGGTGCTACGATGATAGTTATCATCCTTGTCATCCTCTTTATCATCATCTCGTCATCACCCAGCATCATCTAATATCTTATTGTATATAGACATCAAAAGGGACGTTAGACATCCTTGGCAATGCAAAGGATGCGATCATGATAGTTATCCAGGAACAAGTAGTGATGCAGAGGGTGTTGTGATGATAGTTGTCATGACGCGGATGATAACGATCATCACGCCCGTGCCATTATCATCTTGGCCGTCGTCATCTCCCATCACGCAGCATTGGTGATGCAGAGGATGCTACGATGATATTTATCATCACAGCCGTTAGTGATGCCAAGGATGCTACGATGATAACTATCCGCGGGTGATAACGATCATCACGCCCCTGCCATTATCATCATGGTCGTCGTCATCTCTTATCACGCAGAATTGGTGATGCAGAGGATGCTGCGACGATAGTTATCATCACAGCCGTTAGTGATGCTAAGGATGCTACGGTGGTAGTTATAATCCTTGTCATCATCTTTATCATCGTCTGACCATCACCTAGCATCATCTAATATCTTATTATATATAGACATCAAAAGGGACGCTAGACATCCTTGACAATGCAAAGGATGCGATGATGATAGCTATCAAGGAACAAGTAGTGATGCAGAGGATGTTGTGATGATAGCTGTCATGATGCGGATGATAACGATCATCACGCCCGTGCCATTATCATCTTGGTCGTCGTCATCTCTTATCACGCAACATTGGTGATGCAGAGGATGCTGCGATGATAGTTATCATCACAGCCGTTAGCGATGCTAAGGATGCTACGGTGATAGTTATCATCCTTGTCATCATCTTTATCATCGTCTGACCATCACCTAGCATCATCTAATATCCTGTTATAAATGGAAACCAAAACAAATGGTAGACATGCTTGGCAATGCAAAGGGTGCGATGATGATAGCTATCAAGGAACAAGTAGTGATGCAGAGGATGTTGTGATGATAGCTGTCATGATGCGGATGATAACGATCATCACGCCGCTGCCATTATCATCATGGTCGTCGTCATCTCTTATCACGCAGCATTGGTGGTGCAGAGGATGCTGCGATGATAGTTATCATCACAGCCGTTAGTGATGCTAAGGATGCTACGGTGGTACTTATCATCCTTGTCATCATCTTTATCATCGTCTGACCATCACCTAGCATCATCTAATATCTCAATATATATAGACATCAAAAGGGACGTTAGACATCCTTGGCAATGATGATAGCTATCAAGGAACAAGTAGTGATGCAGAGGATGTTGTGATGATAGCTGTCATGATGCGGATGATAACGATCATCACGCCCGTGCCATTATCATCATGGTCGTCGTCATCTCTTATCACGCAACATTGGTGATGCAGAGGATGCTGCGATGATAGTTATCATCACAGCCGTTAGCGATGCTAAGGATGCTACGGTGATAGTTATCATCCTTGTCATCATCTTTATCATCGTCTGACCATCACCTAGCATCATCTAATATCTTATTATAAATAGAAACCAAGACAAACGTTAGACATGCTTGGCAATGCAAAGGGTGCGATGATGATAGCTATCAAGGAACAAGCAGTGATGCAGAGGATGTTGTGATGATAGTGGTCATGACGCGGTTGATATCGATCATCACGCCGCTGCCATTATCATGATGGTCGTCGTCATCTCTTATCACGCAGCATTGGTGATGCATTATCATCACAGCCGTGAGTGATGCTAAGGATGCTACGATGATAGTTATCATCCTTGTCATCCTCTTTATCATCATCTGGTCATCACCCAGCATCATCTAATATCTTATTGTATATAGACATCAAAAGGGACGTTAGACATCCTTGGCAATGCAAAGGATGCGATGATGATAGTTATCCAGGAACAAGTAGTGATGCAGAGGATGTTGTGATGATAGTTGTCATGACGCGGATGATGACGATCATCACGCCCGTGCCATTATCATCTTGGCCGTCGTCATCTCCTATCACGCAACATTGGTGATGCAGAGGATGCTGCGATGATAGTTATCATCACAGCCGTTAGTGATGCTAAGGATGCTAGGATGATAGTTATCATCCTTGTCATCACTTTATCATCATCTGGTCATCACATAACAAATCTCTAATATCTTGTTGTACACAGAAATCAAAAGGGACGTTAGACATCCTTGGCAATACAAAGGATGCGATGATGATAGTTCTCAAGGAACAAGCAGTGATGCAGAGGATGTTGTGATGATAGCGGTCATGACGCGGTTGATATCGATCATCACGCCCGTGCTATTATCATGATGGTCGTCGTCATCTCTTATCACGCAGCATTGGTGAGGCATTATCATCACAGCCGTGAGTGATGCTAAGGATGCTACGATGATAGTTATCATCCTTGTCATCCTCTTTATCATCATCTGGTCACCACCCAGCATCATCTAATATCTTATTGCATATAGACATCAAAAGGGACGTTAGACATCCTTGGCAATGCAAAGGGTGCGATGATGATAGTTATCAAGGAACAAGTAGTGATGCAGAGGATGTTGTGATGATAGTTGTCATGACGCGGATGATAACGATCATCACGCCCGTGCCATTATCATCATGGTCGCCGTCATCTCTTATCACGCAGCATTGGTGACGCAGAGGATGCTGCGGTGATAGCTATCATCACAGCCGTTAGTGATGCTAAGGATGCTAGGGTGATAGCTATCATGCTTGTCATCATCTTTATCATCATCTGCGCATCACCTAGCATCATCTAGTATCTTTCTATATATAGAAATCAAAAGGGACGTTAGACATCCTTGGCAATGCAAAGGATGCGATCATGATAGTTATCAAGGAACAAGTAGTGATGCAAAGGATGTTGGGATGATAGTCGTCATGACGCGGATGATAACGATCATCACGCCCGTGCCATTATCATCATGGTCGCCGTCATCTCTTATCACGCAGCATTGGTGATGCAGAGGATGCTGCGATGATAGTTATCATCACAGCCGTTAGTGATGCTAGGGATGCTAGGATGATAGTTATCATCCTTGCCATCATCTTTATCATGCGTTTTTGGCGAACCAGTCGGGTTTTGTATGGGTTCCAGGCCGCGCGGTTGCGAAACTCATGACAGCACGTGGAACACTGACGCTTTTCGGGGCGCCCGGCTGTCAGGCGTAAGCCCTTAAATCCGGCTACGCCTCCTTAGGGTAGCATGTCGCCGCTAGGCAATTAGCCTGCTAGCTCTAGCTATAGGGGCTGCACCCTGGTGCCGCCGACCCTCGCCACTTGGTCGTGATGCGCGGCCTAAGTCCGGCACCGCTGCATCACCAGCTCGGGCTTGCGGTTTTGCTTGACTGTGGGAAACCCTCGCGAAACATCGCGTATATGCAGGGTTTAGGCCATGTGGCTGACATCGTCAGGGTCTGGGGTTGGGGCTGGGTGATGCTTCAGCGACTGCATCATCAACACTTCCTTCCAAAAAGCCTCTCCACCCAAAAAGCACTGTTTTTAAGTAGGTATCGGAGGGGTATAAGCGAGGCTCATTTTTGCGCATTTTGGCGCCAAGCGCTGCCGGGCATGCCGGCGATGCTGGGCCCTCGCTCTACAAAACGCTGTAAATACCGCCAAAAACTGCTGTGCTGAGCGTTGGGCTGTTGTTCTGTCCGTTTTGCTTTTGCTGTGGCTGGCTCGCGTGCTGCGCGGTCCTTGCTTTTTTTGCGTTGGTTTTCGGGCCTTCTGGCGCGCGCGCGCGCCCCAGCCACACAACGCTGCTATTTACGGTGTTTTGCTGCATTTGCGTTTCCGGCCTGGCTTGCGGGCTGCTCTTTTTGGGCTGCTCTTTTTGGGTCCTCTGGCGCGCGCGCGCGCGTCCCCATGTCAGCCTTCTGGGTTGGGGCCCGGATGGGGCCCAGAAAGCCGGCATCCCCAGCATTATCTGGGGGTGAGGGGGGCAACATGCATAACCTAACCAGCCATATCATAGCACACGCTACGTTTCTCATGCAAAAAACATGACATGACATGGTATAACTTCAAAGAGGCGTAGCCGGCTAGAGGCCGCAGGCCCAGAAAATTAAATAGAAACTTCAAGCATACCAAAACGTCGGGCAGAAACGTTGGTCAGCTAATGATGGAACACACACACACACAGATATTCTGCGTGCAAGGCAGCTGCCAAAGTGCCTATGATGACTATTCGACAGAAGCAAAGGATGCTTTGACCATGGTGCATTTCACAAATGGAGGCACGGGCCTTCGGCCGTGCTGTTAGGGGAGCCCGTTCAGCTTATCTCCCAGTGTTCCGTACAGCCCGTCTGGTACGTCTGGTGCGCCTGCCATTCGCAGAGCTCCTCTCCGGCCAGCACCAGGGACTGGTCGTGCGGCCTCGCTTCGATCTTGGGGGTTGGACGCGAGTCCGGCGCAGGTGGCAAAGGTCGAATGGGCTGAGGCCGAGGGCATAAAGCAGCAGGAGGCCAAGAAGTTCGCCTTCACCAGCCGGGGCGCCTGCCAAAGTCACTTCCACTATCTTCCGATTATCTTCCACTTGTAGATAGCCCAGGCATCCCAGGCCCCGGGCGGTGCTGGCGAACTGCAAGCCTCACGCACGCCGCGCTTGGCGCCAAGCCTTTGAGACTTTTGAGCCGCCGGCCTGGGACGCGGGAGCCCAAATCCAGGGCCGCCGGGTCCGCGTCCACTCGATCTGAGGGAAAAGTCTGGCTTGAACGGCTGAAAGGAGCCGTTTCTGGGTGACTTCAAAGCCAAAAGTGTTCGAAGGTGCAGAGTTCAACACACTGAGCCGCGCTCCGCGGGTCACGTTCAGCTGGAAGCCCTGAGATGGCGCAACGCTTTGCCGGAAGGCCACAAACTGTCTTAACAGCCGCGCACGTCCCGCCTCTCTGTTGTCTGCCTGCTTTGGCGCCTGAGGCGCTCCTGGACAGGGAATGGCCAAGTCCGAAACTTGCCAGGTCAGTGTCACCTCAGACTCTCATGTCATGGCCCGCCATTAACTTTCAACAGATCCCAGCTCCATTCTATCCCCAAGAAATGTCTTGAAACGGACAACATCCGGGGACAAAGTCTGGTCCTGAGCCCGAAGAGGCTGCTTTCACCGAGAATACGAACTGAGGCATCGCCGGCTCCTCCTAAGCTCGGGATCGCTATGGATCGCTGAAACCTGTCCGCTCTCGGCTCTCTGCCTCGTGTTCTGCTTGCTCCACGGGCTCCAGCTCCAAAGTGGCCATGCCTCGAAAACACTCGCTGTCTGTCCGAAGTTCGGAGTGAGAAATCTCAGGCCGAAGCCAATGCCTCCCTGGTGGCCGAACGCCAGGCCTGAGCTCGATGGTTTGCCGCCCAGCCGCTCAGTTCCGTCTTGAGCCAACCACCTCTGGCGCTCCATGCCAGTTGCACAATCTGATCCTGGCAGAGAGAAAGTCATTGCTTGGCTATTGCTTGGCTTGCGTCCTGTGCTGCCAGTGTGAAGAGGGCATCCTTCATGACCATGTCCCAGACCTGTCACAAACACAAAGACACAAGCTAAGGAGATTCGAAACTGGTCGGCGGCACGCAAACCGTGCGATCTTCACCGCCCGAGGCGAGGCATCGCAGGTTGGGGCCTCGGGGTCGACACATCTCAGGCCTTGATGGCACGCGGTGTTTCCCTGCACTGGGCAGCCAGCTCCAAGCAAGCGCGTGCACACGGCCGCTGCAGCACCTCAGATAATTTAGGCCCCAAGCAAATTGAGCTGCTATAACCATTGATGATCCATTGATGATCCATTGATGATCCATTGATGACATTAAAGCCAAGACAAGTTTGGCATGCGTGCAGGCTGAAGAAACGAAGCCAAATGATGGGCCATGGCGCAAGTCACCTTCGTGCGGAAAGCCGTCAGTCTTCAGGATAGACTCGGTGCAAGTAAGATTGCAGATGAGCGCGTCTCCGCATCTATTGTCAAGCCTCACTGCCTCACCGCATCTTGGCTCGCTGCGATCAGCTCGCCATGGGCCACTGCCAGCTTGAGACCATCACCCCGAAACCTCGCAGTGAGCCAACACGAGCCAACGCAACCCTCTGTGAACCCGCCCTTCGAGTCTCCCCAAGTCTGCCCAAGTCTGCCCAGTGCAGCCCGGCAGCGCTGTCACCTGAACCGTGTCTGAGAACACCACACAGCCCAACCTGGCGAAGGCACAGCCTAAAATCGCAAAAGGGGCTGATTCACTGATTGCCAGGGCCTGCCATACACAGACGTGTCCCATATCACCTGAGACAAGCATCTCATTGCAACGCTTGGAACACTGCGTTCCAAACGCGTCACATGTTTCTGCCCAGCGGCCAGCCCTGTGCCCTTGCCGTCGTCTCTGGTTGCATCCTCCTTGCAAAGGAGGGATAGTTCAGCTGGCTGAGCTCCCTGAAAATCAGCCGAGGCCAGGACCACAGGGCCTCCGGCGGCCAGGAAGGTTCCGTCCGGGGAGAAGCATAGGCTGTGAGCTACGCCCGGCAAGGCGGTCAGCTCCTCAAAACAGAAGTTAGGCATCTCTCTGTGCCTCGTGCGAAATCCCCCCATCGTTTCCCTCATGGCACTGCTAGCATGGCACTCCTGGAACTCTGGCACGGCAAACAGCCGCACCTGGCAATCCACTTCGAGGTCTGCGGTGCAAGTTGCAGCCGAAGTCGGACGGCAGCTCAAAAGAATATCTAAATATAATTAAATATATTGATCATTATAGGTTTCTCCCGGATGCAGACAACACAAAACCATCGTCCTCCATAGAGCATTGAGGGCGCATCTCGGCATCATCTGGTCAAATGTGAGTCAGGCCCGGTTGACGCTGGCAGGTACGAAACTTGCATTTCCTGGATGGTACTTAAGAGGCAAAATATCAATGACGCCAATGCTAAGTATCCAAGCATGATCACAAGGTGATCCTTGACCTGCAGCGAGTGGCTCAATTCATCCACCTCGAATGTGTCAGGATTCTCGTTTCAACATGGTAGATCATGGTAGCCCTTCGTATTGTGCGCGGTTCTTCCAGCTGTCGACGAAGTTGGCCAGAGCGCAGAGGAACACCAGAGGTGGGATTCCCATTGGTCCAGGTGATGCCATGAAGAAATTGATGCGGACAAAATGGAAGACAAAGCCACAAGCACAGGCAACATGGAAGCTGGCATAGACGGAAAGTAGCGGGATGCTTAGCCATTGGCTTGAAGTTGACAATTCCGCTTTGTGCTGACGGCCACCTTCCGAGTCATGACCTGTCGCTCCAGGACTGGGACGAGCCACAAGCCCACCAACGCCAGCAAAATCCCCGCGTGACGACTGCCACACCGAGCATCGTCCCTCACCCACGAACCGGCAAGTCTCGAATCGTCCACATTCGTTTTGTAAACGCTGTATGACACAACGGGCCGCTTGAAGGCCAAGGCTTGAGCCCGAGGCCAATGCCAAGTACATCGCGCCTTCGAAGTCGTGGCCGCAGCGAGGCGATGCTCGTGCCAGGCCAGTGCAAGGACCTGCGGCGCCCCGACTCAAAGATCCGATCGATTGGATCACCAAGGCCTGGCACCCAGCATTGAATGTTGTGCTGGTAGCCGCCTTCAGGTTCCACAAGTGGATGAGCCCTGGACGTGTTCTTACGGCCATTCGATTTCTGGCAAGTCGACGCACACTTGAAGACAGCTGCACAACCCTCCTTGCTGGTCTGCAGCGGCCAAGTACACGCCACCTGAGTGTGAACAGGAGGCAGTTCTCTCAAACCCAAGTCTCCTAACCAGTGCTGCGATGCGAAAATTACGCCAAGATCCCAACCCTCTGAATACGCCATTGCGGTCAAAGAAATCGGACAGGACCATACACATCCCTCCTGCACTCCACGCGCGGAGCTCTGGTACTCTCCTAAGGCAACACGCCAGCCTTGTTCAAAATGGATACACCCTGAGGGAGCAGAGAAGAGCATTTGTCCGCGACATCCCTAGCTTTGGAAGAACTGGCGCGTGCCTCCGCATCAGCAGTTGCTAGGCTTTCACCCCGCTGGCCTTGCGGAATCGCATTGCGACTTGTTGGATAATATTGATGATGAAGGATATTCCGATTTGCTGACAATGCGAGCACAATGCAACGATTGATTTCTCCGAAACCAATGGCTGAGCAGCGGGCAAAAGCTAAAAGTGATGGTGTCGCTCTGCTGCGACCTTAAACGACAGAAATCACTTGCAAGGCCATCACTCATGTTACAGAAGCCATGATCCAAGCCCTTGATAAGCGCCGCACAGAAGTGACACCTCGCCTTTTTGGCGATATACCGGGACCTGCTGAAGAGCATCTTTGGCGCCGTTCGACTCTGCGAAGAGGCGGCGGATGTGGTGATAGAAAAACTCATCTTCATCTTCATCAGCATTGTTGGTGGCATCCGAATATCTTGAGGGTGATTCAGCTTCGTCAACCTCTTGATTGCGGAACTTCACCGTGCCTGCAGTCTTCATCTTCTTGAAGCCCTTCAGGTTGAGGCCGGTACCTCCGGGTTCTCCGCTGTCCCGTCGCGGGCTGCGAGATTGAGGCTCCCGGGGCGGCGAAGTCGGCCCGGTGTCAATCTCGTCGCAAGGGGGCGCTTGCGGAGGCGGCGTTGGCTCAGCGATGCTGATAACCATACCATGGCCGCCATAGTCGCTATGGTCGCCTCCTTCGCTTCCTTCGGCATTGCCCTCCAGCAAGGGCTCGGTCAAACCGCAGGCAGCGCGTGCGGCCTCCACCTCCTGTCTCAGCGAGAAGCTAAAGGACATGCGCTGCATCGGCGACCTCGCGGGATGGAAGAGGATGAACACCGCACGGCTGTGGGTCAAAAAAAGGTACCCATTTTGGGAACCCTGGTACATGGACACATGGACTAAAACCTGCAGTCCCCTGGTAGTTTAATTTTGACCCGCACCCACACAGATTCACAAGCATAGACAGCATAAGAGTTCCAACTTCTCTCTCCCCGGCCTGTCCGACACCGGCGATGCCGGGGATGTGGCGGGACGACTCTGGAGGGCCCCTGCGCGCATGATGCCCAGGCCCTCCTGGGGCGCACGTGTAAGCGATCTCGTTCCCTCATGACCCCGTGACCTTGGAACCTTTCGATCGCTTGCTTTCGAATTTCCATCGGTTCGCCCATCCTGGACGCTCTCGAAGTGCCGCAGTGACCGGCGCTGGTCCTCCAGCAACTTCACCTCACTGTTGCGTCGAGCCGCTTGCTTTCTGCAGCTGCCCCAAGATTGGCAAGTGAACTTGTTAGCTGAGGTTCTACTGTGCTGTGCTGTGCGAACATTCATACGTATGTGTGCCTGTGTGTAGCTCTATATGTGGTCATAAGTATATTTAATATAATATACTCTATTATGTCATATTATGTCCATGTCTCATATACTTGCTTATTGAGCTGCAATTTGGTTATTTATATGTATTAGGCCTTCCAAAGCCCCGGTTTTGCAGCTGGAGTCTCGAAAGAAAGGAGTGTCAATAGGAATGGCAGGCTGGAGCTGGGGCAAGATCGATCATTACCTCACATTTGCACCTCTGCTTGTCCACGTTCTGAAATCTCGGGACAAATGCAAAAGATAGAACTCCTGACTGGAAATCAGACATCAGCTTCCATGGGTTTATCCAAATCTGATCCCGGGATCCAGAGTGGACTTCGCTGATTTCCGGATGCAAAAATATGGTTCTTGCCATTGCGCGGATCAAGAATCTCAGTCTCAAAAACACGCTCAAGAGCATGTTGGACGAACTGGTCCTGCCCGAGGCATGCCAAAATCCCAGAGTGAACAAACAGTTGGACTGCGCACGGAGCTCAGTGTGTGTGCTATGTCAATCTCGTGTTGATTCGGAACCCAAGGAGTCCCTTGTGTTTCCACGTGTTGGCAGAGTGTGCCTGCAGCGCTTCCACCATCTGCATCTTCCGACCCTGCTGCAGCTCCCGTATCAAGTTCTCTGCAGGCGCAGCATTTCTGACAGGCGACGACATCACATTGCAAGGAGCCCGGTGCGGGCAGCCTGTGACGCGCGGGAAGCCTGGTGCAAAGGTCTGCTCATTCTCCATTTTGCCCTGAAACCGGCTTCAAACAACTGCCTAGTGATCTCCTCTGTTGACGGACACTGAGTCAAACTGGGGATGAAACCTGTCGAACGGCCCGTGCGATTGAGCCAATAGCGCCAATGAACTGTAAGCAAGAGCATGATTGGCATGCACCCAAATGATCCCAAATGCCATGGCCATAGCTTTCGCCTTGCCTCGGCTTTTCTCGCGCTGCGCCATTTCCTGGTTTCTCGCTGAGCGAGCTTAAGCGGCGTCGCCGCCCTCCAAAGGATCACGCACGAATCGCGCCCTTTCGAGGATTCTGCACACATGCCGACTCCCGACAGCTCGAATTTTGGGCCAACTCTTAGCGCCCACGCGGGTTCTTGGAAAAACATAGAGGCAACCGAAACGTGATAAGCTCCAACAGCATGACCCAATCCCCGAGTTCAATCAACTAGCCAAAAACATATCCCCAAGTATCACCTGCTTGCATTGAGGGGAGCTCCTGAAGCGATTGAAGGAAACGTGACACATTCTCATTTAGAGCCCATGGCTTTTCAGACTTCACCGGGGCGCAGCAGCTGCAGCTGTGGCTGAAGGCGTAAGAAGCCAGCACAGCGCCAACTGCGCTATCGCCAGCCTCGAGCGCCAACAAAATCGCCGAACGGCAAATTAGCATATGGGGCAGTTGGTTTACATAACTTCTCGTGCCCAACTTGAATACAACTCCGCGAGTCGCCCAAACCGCCTCAGGCCCCAACCCAGTGATCACATGCCCGTGCATGGCACTGGGTGCAACACTGTACCTCCCGAAAACAAAATGAAAGCAAAGGAACGAACAGCCAGTGCATCGGATCCGGGGTCTGGCATTGCATCGGATCTGAGCCGCCCGCTGCCCATTCGTCCCAGGCTCAAAATGCAGCAGAAAGCGGCGCACAGCCCATGCCTTGCAAGTGCGCACGGTGGCGGCGAGTCTGGCAACAAACACACAAAGTCAGCACATCAAACCAGCTTTGGGGAAGCTTTCAGCTTGGGGGTTTGGTCTTGCTCTTTGGACTCAGGGCTTATGTTCTTAATGAATGACGATTGGGGATGGGTTAAGTCAGATCGCATGCCTCTTGCCTTGTTTGAGTTTATGGCCAGCGGAGCAAGCTAATGGAGACAAAGTACTGGCATGAAGGGTGGGCGGAGGTCTGGGGATTGGCAACGTCGGGTTGAAACCACGTTGAGATCACTCCTTCCGGAAGGCGATCGGATTTTGCGGCAGACTGAGGACAGAACCGCGCAGGCGGCAAAGTATGCGAAGAAGAGCCAGTAGATCCTGAGACTGAGATGTCACGGCGCTCCCAAGTTCCCCTGCAATCAAGCCGCGGGTTCTGAAATGTAAGTATCCTGGCGAATGCGCAGGCAAATGTGCGAGCACCGCGTCAATGAAAGTCACCCTCCCTCCAGTCCTTGCAATTACCATCATTGTCACCTGGGCAAGCGAAATCAAACAAGTGATGTGTTTCCTTCAAATCACAACGTACGCGAGGTCGATGCTGGGACGTACTTGTAGCTGCAATTCGCCATCAAGTCCAGAAAGGGCCTCAGCTCATGGCCTTCGCCACAACAGTTCATGGGCAACTGGGAATCCAACACAGCGCTCCCCACCACGTAGAAGGCCATCTTTATCAAGCCCACCTACGAAGCCGCATTACTCGGGAGACTCTTCGGATCTGTTGGCGCCAGTTGGGCTTCGATGTCCGTTGGTTCCCCCAGTGGAATTGAAGGTGCAGGATGCCTCCAGGAAGAGGAGGACCATAGCAAAGGAGGCCTCGGGAGTCTTCGGTTCTCGCACAGCGCATTGCGAGGATGGGCCGCAAGTTGGCCGAGGGGAGAGCCGTGGAGGGCAAAACCTCTGGCCGGAAGTCATGCAGGATGCCTCGTTGCCTCAGCGTCCACCCCCTTCTCATGTGCACACGGCAATCTCTCTTATTGTACGCAAGAGGAATACAAACAGATATCTCTCATCCCACATGTGATTTTAAACACAAGAGGCGCCCCCTTTTTGACTTGCTCGCTCTCTGGGCGCGCTTGGCCTTGGCCAGAAAAAAAGCCCAAGACTCGACTGGCAAAGCCCTGCCTTCCGGGCCTTCAACTGAATCCTGCACTCAGTCTCTTCCCGCATTCTTGGACCTTCGACCTGGCCTCCAGGATCTCCTTCAAGCGCCTCAGGCGCCAAACCCCCGGAGCCTCGAGAGACTCGAGAGACTCGAGAGCCTCGAGAGCCTCTCTCGGTCGCGCCTCACCACGTCGTGGCCGGCGCCCAACAGCGGCGCCGCTTCCGCCAGCGCCCGCTGGGCCAGGGCCCTTGCCAGCTGCCGCCCTCTTCGGCCGCGCCCCGAGTCTCCTGCTGCGGCGGCAGCAGTGGCCACAGCGCCGGCGCGCAGCGCCAGCGCCTCCGCGTGCGCCGGGCTGAGGCCGTCTCGGGCGTGTTGCACCTGGATGGCTGGCGAGACAAAAACCAAAAAAACATGAAAACCAACCAGCATGACAACGCACAGTGGCCCGAACCCTTGCATCGATGCTGACAAAAGCTACCGCGCGGGAGCTAAAGACGTTCCACCAAAAATAGGCTTCCGGCAGCCGGTGTGGAAAAACAGGGGTCTCAGGATCGAATCCACCGAAAACATTGAACAACACAGTGTTTGTTTGACCGCCTTCTAGCCAACACGTTGAAAAAAACTGTGTTTTTCAGTCTTCTTGGCCTCCTACAACATGCTGCTGCGCGGGTGGACAAATGCTTTTAGGGAGCGTGGGCCGGCTGTGTGTTTCTCGTCTTGTCGGCTGTTGGAAATCCATCCATAATCTACTCCCGTTGGCTCAAGACCTGAGAAGCATTGTCCACTTTGCTTGTGCAGCGTGAGCACGCTTCTGACACGCTTCAGAGCAATTTGCTGTTGCCATTGTAGCATCCAGTCATCCACGCAGGCCCGTTCTGTTGGCATCATTTTGGCGAAGCGAAAGGGAGAGGAAGCTGCAATGAAGGGGAAATGAAGATCGGAAATGAAGGATAAATGCAGCGACATGTGCGGAAATGCTGAATAGTGCAGGGAAGTGCTGAAGGCGGACTGACGGGAAAATTCGGGGCGAACGTTGGGAAATGCAAGGGAGATGCAGGGAAAATAAAGGAGACCTGAAGGAGGGAAATCACTGTGACGTGCAGGGAAATGCAAGGACGTGCAGGGGACAGGAAGGGAAAATGACAGGAAATCAAGGGGAAACGCATGAGAAACGAAGGGGAACTGAAAGGGAAATGAAGGGGAAAGGAACAGGAAATGAAGGGACTGAAGGGGAAACGAAGGGAAATGAAAAGGGAAAGAAGGAGACATGAAGGAAATGAAAGGGGAATGAAGGGGAAAGAACGAGACATGAAGGGGGAATGAAGGGGAAACGAAGGGAAATGAAAAGGGAAAGAAGGAGACATGAAGGAAATGAAAGGGGAATGAAGGGGAAAGAACGAGACATGAAGGGGGAATGAAGGGGAAACGAAGGGAAATGAAAAGGGAAAGAAGGAGACATGAAGGGGCAAAGAAGGGGAAACAAAGGGAAAGGAAAGGGGAATGAAGGGGAAAGACGAGACATGAAGGGGGAATGAAGGGGAAACGAAGGGAAATGAAAAAAGAAAGAACGAGACATGAAGGGGGAATGAAGGGGAAACAAAGGGAAATGAAAAGGGAAAGAAGGAGACATGAAGGGGCAAAGAAGGGGAAACAAAGGGAAAGGAAAGGGGAATGAAGGGGAAGACGAGACATGAAGGGGGAATGAAGGGGAAACGAAGGGAAATGAAAAAAGAAAGAAGGAGACATGAAGGGGCAAAGAAGGGGAAACAAAGGGAAATGAAAAGGGAAAGAAGGAGACATGAAGGGGCAAAGAAGGGGAAACAAAGGGAAAAGGGAAAGAAGGAGACATGAAGGGGCAAAGAAGGGGAAACAAAGGGAAATGAAAGGGGAATGAAGGGGAAAGAACGAGACATGAAGGGGGACATGAAGGGGAAACGAAGGGAAATGAAAATGGGAAAGAAGGAGACATGAAGGGGCAAAGAAGGGGAAACAAAGGGAAATGCAAGGGGAATGAAGGGGAAAGAACGAGACATGAAGGGGGAATGTAGGGGAAACGAAGGGAAATGAAAAGGGAAAGAAGGAGACATGAAGGGGCAAAGAAGGGGAAACAAAGGGAAATGAAAGGGGAATGAAGGGGAAAGAATGAGACATGAAGGGGGAATGAAGGGGAAACGAAGGGAAATGAAAAGGGAAAGAAGGAGACATGAAGGGGCAAAGAAGGGGAAACAAAGGGAAATGAAAGGGGAATGAAGGGGAAAGAAGGAGACATGAAGGGGGAATGAAGGGGAAACGAAGGGAAATGAAAAGGGAAAGAAGGAGACATGAAGGGGCAAAGAAGGGGAAACAAAGGGGAAACGAAGGGGAATGAAAAGGGAAAGAAGGAGAAATGAACGGACACGATTTGTAGGAGCAAAAGGACTGGAACTGACGGGACATGATTGGGAAATGCAGGTGAAGGGGAGATGGAACTGAAGGGGAAATTGAAAAGAAAGGGGCCACGACGCGGAAATGATAGACGGGACATAAAAAGGAGATGAAGGGGAACTGAAGGGGAAATCCAGGGGAAACGCGTGGGATTTGAAGTGTGGTGGTTCTATCTTGTACTTGCGTACTCTTCCAATTTTTGGCGTTGTTGCTGCTGTTGCTGCTGCTGCTGCTGAGCCGTCATTCCTGTTTTGTATGCCAGATCTTTCCTGGGTGTATGACACTCTTCACTGCTCCGCTACCATCTTGAAATGGGAGCAACTGTTATACATTCTTACCTCAAGTGAATGCCTTGTGTGTGAAGCGACGCAGTTGTTGTTTTACTCGGGCAGGGTAATTTGTCTACAAAGCTGTCAGGATCAAGGCCTTCATGATGCACTGTCAGAACTTCTTATGTTGGCCATGATTGTTTCTTTACAAGGCACGCCTACAAATGATTGTTTGAAAGACCTATAGGGTCTATCGTGCCCGCAAGGAAAGAGTCGCTCGATGCCCAATGACATACATGGCGTATACATCGTCCAGCGGCGAAGGCCGCCAACTGCCGCGCTGCGGCTGCGGCCTTCAACGGCTCACTGGCTGCCTGCGCGCGGGCGCGCGCGGCCCAAGCGGCCACCTCAGGCCAAACCCAAACCGGCCAAACTGGCGTCTGAGCTTGCAGAATGAGAAGCTGAAGGTCACCGAGGAAGGCGCCCAGTGCTTGCCGCGGCATGGTCGGGGATCAGGGCCTGGCAAGACGTGAGCGAGGAATGGCCTTTTCGGCCCAGTGATCCCGCCTGGGCTGTGGAAGGCTGCATGGAGTCGCGCAGCAATGGCGTCGTAGCTCCCCACGGCTCTGTCCAGCTGCGACAGTTCCTCGGGCAAGTGGCCTTGTGCTGATCTTGCCCCGACTGTCAAACTGCTGGGAATATCGAAAATCCGAAAGCTGTGCAATGAAAGTCATCCTGAAGCGTAGCCATGGGGCCGCATGCCAGAATCGTTCAGCCTGGCAGGCAATATTGCTTTGTGTGCCTTTGCATCGTGAATGGACAAATTTGCAACTGTGTAGTCTATGCCAAACAGGTGTCTAGCACATGTGGTATACGTCTCTAGTTCACAACTATCTTATGTCTAACACATGTTCAGCCTTTATAATAACATGTAGAGCATGAGTGTAGCAGGCACATGTCTAGCACATTCCGAGCCCATCTTTTGCCCATTGTGTCTGGCATGGACATGCGCAAATGTCTGGCTTTGCCTAACAGAGCCCAGCCTGCCCCATCGCTTCTAGCATTTGTTTCGCACACTATTGCATGTGTCCATGCCTGCTATGCCTAGCAAATCCTTGTCACTGTGTAACATTACGCCCAGCATGAGTCCAGCAGGTGTAGAGCACGGAACCGGTTTGCGGCACGCGCAACGCATTTCTCCAGCATAGACCTTTCGCAATGCGAGCACGTCACGTATCCGGCGTGTGGTCTAGCTTGGTCCAATTATGCTGCCAGCTTATGTCCAATGCGTCGCTGGAATATCTCAACAGGATAACTTTGTTAGCATCTAAGATCTGTCTATGCATTGTGTCAGGCATGCATTGTAACATGTGTGTGGCGTTGGCGCACTCCTATACAGTCACTCATACCCCTAGCCCAGTTCAAGAGTTCTCAGACTGATCAGAATGTTAAGCATATTCCTGGCAAATGGCGCATAATGGTATATCTATCTGGTTTATTGGATGCGGAAAGTCCAGTTGAAGCAAAGTGCGATCCAACCACAAGTGGGTTGGTGCCTCTCACAAATTTGCCTGTGGCTTGCTGAAGTTGCTTGGAAGTTACCCCGAAATGCAGAAACAGGAGCAAACCACAAAAGGGAGAACAAAAATGGAAATCTAAGCCCAAGCAAATATTTCCCATTGCACCTCGGATCATTGGTGTTTGATCTTTTTTGCTCGAAGGTCTTCTCCGAATTGCGACTGCCTGCTCCAAAGCCTCGGGCTCCGGTGCCGCGTCGCAGCGGCTGCACCGGGTCCACGTCCCGTCCGCAGGGAAGAAGCACCCGCCTGCGCGCTTCTTTCCTTGTTGCAATTCACGCGGCTTGTCACCTTGTCCCATGGCTCAAAACGAGACGTGTCTCTTGTCCTGAGGTCTTGTGCATGGCAAGGGCTCTCTCTCTCTCCCGGCCACAGCTGCAGCGCATGCCCCGCACCAGGTCCGCGCCGGCGCAGCGGGCGCAGGCGCAGCGAAAGCCCCAGGGCCTGAAGCGCAGGGGGCGCGATTCGGGGCAGAACGATTCGGGAACGATTCGGGGCGCGATCTCCGGTTCCCGTAACAAGGCCGAGTGATGCCGAGTGATGCCGAGTGCCGTCGGCATGTTCCAATGTGTCAGCTTCTCTTCTTTTCCATCTCTGCCGAGGGACCCACGCTCCAGCTCCCGCTGCCGCACCGAGATGGGCCGCAGCAAGTCCTCCAACGCGCTTCTGATCGTTTGGCCAAACCCATCGGATGGCTGCCATCGGATGGCCACTGCCAGGCTCATGGGTTGGGACAATCTTATCTGTGCCTCGCTGGAGAGGTACGAGACCAGCACCTCGCCTGGCTGGAGCTGCTTCAGAGCGATGAGCCGGATCCCGGATGCCTATGGAGGCATCGGCCAACACGGTCACTACGCAGTGGGCAAAAATTGGCCTCTGGGCAGAGAGTGGCATTCGGCTGGCAGGAGTGGTTCCTGAGCGCAGGCCCCAGCTCGCCTCCCTGTCATGGCCATTTTGGCCATGTGCAGCAGAGTGGCGCTCTGGAGATCAGGCGGCACACCTCGGGAAAGACGGGCCCAACAGGCCTCACAGCTCTCTGAAAGAGGTTTGGACAGAAGTGTCTCCGCCCAGCGATTGCACGCCATTGGCCCGCAGCCTCGGCAAAGAAAAGCCGAAAAGCCGCCTTGGCCTGGAGACGCCTCGATTGGGCAAAGCGGCACTCTCAGAAGGGCGCCTCCACCGTCATCCGAAGCCTTGGGCGATGGAGAGATTGAGAGATTCGACTTATCGCGCGTGGCACCTCGCCGGACGCCTGCGCGAGCTCCAGCATACTGGCCAAGTGCGGGAGGATGTCAGGTTGCGTAGCAAGTGGCAGGCCCATGACAACATCTTTATTCTATCAACATCTGCTTCTGATCACGGAACACCAACAAGACCCTCCTCAGGCGGAGTCCGGCCGGTAGTCGGCGCAGCTTCATCGCCACCCTGGCCGTGATTTCAGCCATTCCAAAAACAAATTGCTGAGATCCATCGATCGACACTTCAGCCGCCTCTTCAAAGACCAGCCGGCAGGTCTCACAAACAAGGGCTCCTCCGCGATGATCTCGGCCCCTGGCGCTCGCCCCGCCATGGCCCGCATGGCCCGCGATGCCACCTCAGGCCTGGCACCACAGGCCGAAGAGTCACCAGGCACTTCCCGCGGCCGTCCACGGTGTCTCGGACCTACCCGGACGGCGATGGCCTCCCCCGCGTATTTGTTTGGGGCCCTGAGCGCTTGCCTCAACACCGTCAAAGTCCTCACCCGCCGACACGAAGCCAGGCATCCTGACCTGCACCTTCCGCCACACTCCAAGCTACATGGAAACCTCCTCTGCTGTCGTGCGAACTCACACCCGCGGACGCTCGGACGCGGGGGAGGGGGCACCCCGCGCCCCCGTCGCCGTGCCAGGAGCACCGTGGCTGCGGCGCATGGAGTTCGCCGGGTTAAGGCGCGGGCCTGGACGTGAGAAACAGGGCGGTCCTATGGGACAAACGAGGCTTCTGCCTATCTCTGAACAGTTCGGCAAGCTTGCAGCGCCTGCGGCGGAGCTGCCAGTCGGTGTTCTGCGCGGGGCAGCGTCGGCCGCAGCACATGGCAGTTCGGGGGCAGCATCCGCGAAGCCTCTACGCTATGCTCTCGCTGCCCTATGCCGAACCAAAGGACGCAATGCATGCATTCAAACCCGGCCAGGAAAGCGCTGCGCCAGCCGTCAGTGCCAAGTGGAACAACGGTCTGCAATCAGCCAGCCGTCAGTGCCATCCAGGGTTCCAGCAGCCCGTAAATCAGCACATATGTGACATAGGACATCACAGGGATGTACAGGTCAGGCCTCGGGGCGAGCGCTAACACCGCTGTCCCAATCTCAGCTTGAGGCCCCCGGCTGGTCCACGTCAACCTGGGATGACTTGATGGCCAGAACTTGCAGATCTTGCGACCTTGCCTTCAGCCCGTCTGGACCGACTGATCTTCTGCATTCACTGATGTCACCGGGAGATTCCTAGGAATCACTCATTGCATTTGTTTGGTTGAACTCATCTCCGGACTGACAATTCCACAAGGCCCAGGCCCAAGACGCATTGCCTTCCTCAATACGCACAATGTCACGTGTTTCGCCTTTCTTGTCCAGCCTGCTTCATCTTCAGGAATGGGCACATGAGCACGACCAGCTTGCGGAGGACGTAGGAATGGCCTCTTCCAATGATTTGTTCTTTGCCCCACACCAAGGTGAAAGCCTACGTTGAAGAGCTGCTGCAAGCTCGCAAATAGGTACGGAAACCATCGCGTCGCCTTAGGAAAGAGATTGGTGCTTGAGCCTCCGAGCACTTTGGGGCTGCGAGGCACGGGCGCCCGTCATCTGCATCTGACTCATGGCCTCGCTGAAAAATGCGCTGCCGTGGTGCTCCAAGCGCCATGGACAATGGGGGAAAATAGAAATTGTGCGTGAAGGTTCTGGAGGATATCCCCAGCGTGGAAGTGCCAGACCTTTAGGATCAGCTCCAGCCCAGTGAATCAGAGCCCATGCGCCTGGTTTAGCGCAGCGCCGGCCAGTGCCTGCGACACGTGCACCCGCCGGACCGTCTTCGAGAAAGGGGGACAAAAATGGAAAAAAGAAGAAAAGAACATCTGCCGATTGGTCACAAATGCGACATCTGCCTCGTTGAAGCCCATGCTGCCCATGGCCTCAACACGAAACCGAGCAGGAGATGTGACCCGGCAAGGGGCCCCGGCTGCAGCACCGGCGCCCACGAAATCGCTTGCGCTTGCGCCCGAGTTGCCCTGAAGCGGAGAGAGGGGAAGGGGAAGGGCGCGGTAAAACTGAAAGGAAACTGAAAGCCGGACAAGGAAGGGCTTGAGATGGTTGAAAGGGCAAGGAAGGCAAAGGAAGGGGTCCCGATTTGTTTTGAATATGTTTCCCGTTTTGTTTTGGCATTTTTCCTGGATTTTCTGTCTTGGAACCGGCAGGTGCGATCTCCCTTGGTTCTTCTGTGGTTTGACTCGTTTTGCACCAGTGCTGTCAACATCCCCGGCATCGTTTTAACTCGGCAGCATCCTTTTCAACATCCTCAGCATCACGAGTTGGATTTGTTGGGCTGGGTTTAGGGTGGGTTTAGGTTGGCTAGGGTTGGTTCATGGTGGGTTCCAGGCTTGTTTAAGGCAAGTTCGGGGGTGGCTGCGCTTAGGTACTGGATGGTCTAAAAGCTGGTTTATGGTGGGCCTCTTGGGGGTTGGTGCAGGGGTTTAGGGCTGGCTTAGGGTGAGTTTAGAGTTGGTTTAGGCTGTGGTTGTGTTTAGGTGGGATGGTTTAGTGTTGGTTTGGTTTGTGTCGCGTTTGCTTTGGGCTTGTTAAGGGTTTAGTTTGGGTTTAGTGCTTGTGTACGGGGGGTTAGGGATTGGTTTTGGGGTTGCTTTGGGGAGCTACAGGGTTTGCTTAGCGGGGGTGGTTTGAGGTTTGAGGTTTGAGGTTTGAGGTGGGCTTATTAGCAATGGCTTTGTGCTGGTTTAGTGCGCATCGTATAATACAAACCCACTCTAAACCAGCATCAATACAGAATAATACAAACTTAGTGCAGACTTAGGGTTGGTTTGAGTGGGGTTCGGGTGGGTTTCGGGATTGGTGTTTGGGGTTTAGGGTTGGTTTAGGGTAGGTTTAGAGTTGAGGGATAGTCTCGTGCTGGTTTAGAGTGGGTTTGTTTAGGGTTTTCTGTAGGGAGTTGTGCTGGTTTAAGGTTTTCTTTAGGGTTTCTTTAGGGTTGGCTTTTAAGGTTGCTTCTAGTTTTAGTGGTGGTTTGGGGTGGGTTTCGTGGTGGTTTAGGGTTGGTTTAGGGCTTTTTGGGCCAAAACGCGAGTTTAGGACCGTGGGCATTGGATTCATTGGGATTTGTTGCCTACGAAGAAGCGGGGGGGTTGGGGGGGCGCAGCCCCCCCATCTACAGAAACATGGGAGGGAAGAAGCCACCAGACAAAAGTCCCAAAAGCCAAAAGGCGGTGATGCTGGGGTGTTGCTGGTGATGCTGAGGCTGCGGAAAGCCAAAGCCACAAAGGCCACAAGGTAAAGCCAAAAACGACAAGAGCCAAAAAGCCAAAAAGCAAAAAGCAAAAACAAAAAAGAAAGCAAACAAACCAAAAAGCAAAAAAAAAATGCCAAAAAGCCAAGACTCCAAGAAGACAAAGGCCAAAAGCCAAGAAGCTGAGAAGCCAAATAAGGCAAAATCCAGGAAAAAATCCTAAAGAAAAACGGGGAAAAATCCCAAAATAAATAGCCCTCCCAAAGGAAGTCTCTCCACGTCGCCTGCGCTTGCCACTGCGGCTGCAAGGGCTGGCCAGGCTGGCCAGGTGGACCGGGCTGCGGCTGACCCTGGTGGTGAAGCGACTGCATGCCGTTCTGCGCGTGGCTTGGTTGCTGCACTCGCATGTTCCTTGGCACTGGCGAGACTCGAGACTCAACCGCACGCGAGCGCGCAAATCCATTCCAAGGACCTGTGCTAAGAAGCCAGCGGCGCTTGATTGGGCCCCTTGCGAAACATAATTGGGAGGTTCAGGAACACATCGGAACACATCATCTCGCAGGCTGTCTGATGTGGTCTTGAGGCTGCAGCCGAGGCACCCTGCGACAAAGCCAGCTCTCACACAAGAGTTGGTCATGATTCTGATGAAAAGTGCCTTCCGAAGCGCCCCGCCTGGGCATCCCAGTTATCAAAGAAGTCGTCCCCCCTGACACATCGAACTGGCGAACTCCGAAATCTATCCGGTGCCGTCGTTAACGGCGCACCCGGAAGGCAAAGGCGCCGCCGGGCCCTGGCCCTGGCCCTGGCCCGCACCCCCTCCGAACCTGGCGCGGCTGAGCGTGGCCGTTCACGCCGCCCTCTCAAGCTCCGCCAGCCCGGCGGATTGCTGCGGACCCTCATTCCTGGCTGCATGCCTCACCAGAAAAGGGTCCAAAGCCACAAAGGCCACAAAGTAAAGCCAAAAAGCCAAAAGCCAAAAAGCAAAAAAGCAAAAAAGCAAAAAGGCAAAAAAGCCAAGAAGCGATCAAGCCAAATAAGGCAAAATCCAGGAACAAATCCTACAGAAAAACGGGGGAAAAACCCAAAATAAATAGCCCTCCACCAGAAAAGTCCACCGAAATCCGCAGCTTCACGCTGAGCATGCGCTGAGCTCCGTGCTCGCGGGGCCGGGACCATCCGTGGCCTTCCCGTCTCGAGCCCAAACGCCTCCAGCTGTCCCATGCCGCTCCACGCCACTCCACGCTCAGGCTGGCCGCCAGTGGGGCATTTCTTCATTTCATTTCAAGATATTTCAAGCATCCAAATTCCAGCTCCTCTGCTGCTTTTGCAGCATGCGGCTGTGGTCCTTTGGCCTCTTGGCACTTCCTTAATTTCCTACTAGAACGCAAGCTTGCACAGCTACATTCGCAGCAGTGCCTCCAATGAATTCATATATGCTTCACTGGAGCTCTCTTGACATATGCCGTGAAAACGTGCATGCTGACACGTTCAATCTCAAACCGAGGCGCATTACAAAGTAACCTCCACATGATTGCTCCATCTGTACTTTGTGAGACGTTCATTAACAGCGCCAACTTGTTTCAGGCGGACCTTGGTCATGGTAGCAGAGCTGCCGCAATCTGGCAGCGTCAAGTCGCCCTTCTTTGATTCAATCATTGCAAATCTGAGTGAAGGACTTTTACTTTCTCAGCACCACTGCCAGCCTCTGCAAAAATTGGGTTCTCTCGTCACAAGCTTTCTGCCACCCGTCCCTGAAAATATGGCTGAACGGTTTGCCCGTTTGGCATCGTCGAGTGCCAGAGGTGGCATCAGCATGAAGAAGAGGGAGGCGACATGATTTCCGAGTGCCGACAAGGCGCTTTGTCAAAAGCATGGTAGCCTGCTGCCGAATTTGGGCTGAATCGCCGAACCTGCAGAGGCGACTCTAACGACCCCAGGCCAAAACCAATCTGCCCCAAATTGACATATGAAATTCATACCCTGCCTGCTAAGACTATGAAGGGCTTGCTCTCCTCCAAGCTTGCTGACCTCTACGAGGTTTGCCTCAGGGCTTTGGCTTTCTCGGCTTCCAGTCCCTCAGACTCTAGAAAGCACAGCGCTCGGCAAACTAGGCTTCGACGAACAGCAACTGACTTGGGCTTGATGCGGCAGGAAGCAAGTTGGAAACTGCAGCTCAGTCTATGCAAGTGATTGTGGTAACTGTGATGAAATTATGTTAAGGGACGGATTGGTCTAAAGACAGCATGCTTTGCAGCTCTGGCAGATTTGCCATCTGTGGCTCGTGCCCTTATCGTAAGAAAGGGCTGGCAGTGCGGCATGAGTGCCTATGAGTGTCAGGAAGAATTTGTTATTTTCACTTGGCATGCCGTGGTGCTTCAGGACAGCGCGAGTGGTGGGTGTTCACACCATGTCAAAGTTGCCGCAGCGCGTGTAAGAGCGCATGTGTCTGGTGTGTTTGTTTTTGTGTGTGCGGGTGCCTAGTGGCTTGAGGTGCGCTCGGAATCTATTGGTGCGGAGCAAAAGCTCACCGCTGAGGATCCGAGGCTCCGAGGCTCCGAGGTTCCGAGGTTCCGGCATCGGATGAACAAACCACCACCAGCAGCTCTGCAATGGTGGCCGTAGGACCTGAATGCGAAGAACCGAAGCCCAGCCCCAGCCTCACGCCGGCCTTGAGATAGCATGACCCGCTCCCATGGTGACCCGAGCACTCGCGTCAAAGCTGTCTTATGGTTGTAGGCCTGCCACCGCTTGGCCCCATTCAAGCGACAGGACTTTGTCGAACACGTGGACGGATTCATATGCTCAAAGGAGCCGGTTCCCCCATGTAGGGTCATGGGCATGGCTCAACGAATGGGAATTACACCAGTGGCGCTCATGGGTCCAGATACATATCGGATTAGCTGAGATGTTCCTGTCCAATTGCTCACATTGGGCCCTGTCCTGGTTGATGTGCTTGCAGCAGTACCTTTTGGCACGTAAAGGAATCATCTAACCTGTGTTCTCTCATACGGCTTCCTGGATTCCTGGCTTCCTGCTCTACAAAACCGGGGCACTGCATGAAGTCCTTACCACCTTCTTCCGAGATGACGAAGCGAGCACCAAAGTCCGCCGCGAACCAACTGGCCATGATGGTCTGCAAGGCCTCCATTCGCCACCGCGCGAAATCCTGTGACATCCTGTCTGGTCTGAGTGACCAGCAGAGCGCACGCAGGCAGTGGCTCGTACGTACAGGAACAACCTCGAAACTCCGGGACTCCCGCTCCCTCTCTCCCGATCTATTGGTCACTAATCACTAATCAAAGCCCCTTGCTTTGCACGGTCGCCATCCGCCGGATCGTACAGGGCCTCAAAATGGCCGCGTGGCGTTGCCATAACGGCAACCAAGCGCCCCTTGCCTTGGGCTGGACCCCGTGGGCGGCGATTTGCTGCACCTCGCACGCCGTCCACACCGCTCCACCGCTCCCGCGAAGTGAACTGCGCCTTGATCAACTGCGCAAAGGCCGCCCCCCGAACCGTCGAGGACTGAGCCGCATCCTATCCAAAGAAAACGTAAGAAATAGCACGAACTCCAAATACGGGACATGTCCTTCGGGTGAGCGGGCACCATGACCGCCAAGGCGTAGAGCAAGTGGCAGAGCCTGGCAAGTTGGATCGCATCGGCTTGGGAGCTCGCGTATCGCCTTGCGAAGGGATCCGTTGACCAGAAAACTAGCACCTCATAGCACCTCCACTTCTTTCGGGTTGCGCCTTTGGGAAAAGTACTGGTCAAGATTGAAGCAAAGACTGGGGCACCTCAACCTGTCGGAACATAGCTGACACAGCCAAACCGCAGACTGAATTTTGGGCCCAGCCTGCGCCCCATTCCAGCATTCCCCATTTCCCACCCTAGCTCTCCGCTCCAATCATTGTCAGCAGCACATGGTGCTGAAAAGAGGCCCCTCTTTCTTTGGTCCGTGTTCCAGACGTTGGTCCTGAGCCAAGTCAACTGGTGCTTGCCAATCTCTCCATGTTGTAGGCGGAGCTGTGTCCTCCTTCAGCACTTCCTCTGCAATCCTCAGCACGCTCTGAAATGCCCGACTGACTCTACTTGGTACTCGCCCATTGCTTTCAGTCTGCGAATCCTCTTTCTGGCCCACCATGCGTAGCCGGAGCTTGTCAGAGGCCCCCACTTGTCCAGCAGCGCTGCTGGCGGCACGCCGCACTCTGCCACTGGAGGCGCCCCCAGCTCTGGCTCCTACACTCGACTTGGATGCGAAGACTTGGGGCCGATGTCATTGGCTTCCCACGCCCACTTGGCCCTGCCTGCATCTTCTGCTCGCCAGATCGCGCCTGCGAAGCTCGAGAGTCTTTCCAAGCCAAGGGGAAAATCGCACCTTCGGGTCCACGGGAGGAAGCGTGCGCGTTCCCATCGACACCAGGGACTCGGACGCTTTGACGCTTCAAACTCTGGGCTACGCGGTTGGGTACGGTTGGGTGTGTCTTTTTCGAGGGTACGCTTTTTTTGTGGCTTTGCCGGAGAACCAAAAGAGAAACCACAAAAAGAAACCCCAGTTGGCACTTGGCAGTCACTTTCCAGGTCTCATGGCCTTGCCAGGCGCCGCCAAGGACGTCTCCAGGTCGAGGGACGGCGTTGCGGCCAGGGGCGGGCAAATGCACTGTCCTGGACGGCACTACCCTCGATGAGCCGATGAGCCGATGAGCGACATTCGCATGTCACCGCCAAGGTCACTCGAAATTTCTGAGTTCTTTCGCGCTGAAATTTTCGGCTCCCGCCGGCCTATCATGAAGGACACCAGGCACCGGAACTCGTTCTCGTTGGGCCTTCGCTCCGCGAACTGCACCGAGGACCCGCATCCTCTCCCCCCCTCTCTCTCTTCCCCTCAGCCGGCAGCAGTCCCAGCGGAGGCTCATGAAGCCACCTGAAATACGCCGAGCCCAGCCTGTAAAATATTTAAAATAGGACCATCCGGGAAAAACACTATGGCTCTTGGAGAGTGCTCAAGGGGCTAAATCGAGACATCGAGACTGTGCACGGGAGCCGCCCAGCCTGGCGATCATATCATAGGGCCCTTCGCCGCCACCAGCCAGGCTTTCAATGAGGACCTGCTGCATGTGGTGGAATCGACGCAAGAACCTGGCCACGAAACCGCGAAGCTGCGTGCAGCACGTTAGACTCCGTTAGACAAAGGAATTTACAGCAACAGAATGCTCGGGAACCGGGACTTGGCAACAGCCCTTGCGCAAAGTCTGGCGGCGCTGCTCGCCGGCGATGTTCCTCGCCTGGGATCCCGAAACTGCATGCCGCGATATGCGGAATCCCAGAAATCAGCGAAATCGAGAGGTTCTTCTTCGCGAAACAATCCGGTAGCTAAGCATCTCTGTCCCTCAGCCAACGCCCCTGCCCCGCGCTTTCTTCGAGGGGCGTTCAGCGTGAGCCGCAGGGAGGAGACCACCGACACCAGCAGCAGCGCCGCTAGCTGCAGGGACCTAAGCGGCGCGAAGTCTCCAAGAGCCTCCCAAGCAACCCTCACCAGAAATCCGCGTGATATGCGTAGTTGCATTCTTTTCCAGGCGGGAATCATGGCTTCACAGTCAGGCAATACTGGAGGAAGCGCGGGCATCTTGCCTCGAAATGACATGAATTCGGCGGCCCTGTCTCGGGCAAAGGAAAAGGCTTGCCACAGTGGCATCGTTGCACTCACTGAGAGCAAGAAAGCGGCACAAGAAGGATGCACAAAACGGTGGAGAAGCCGGCCACCATGCTGCTCGCCATGGCGTCGTCTGGGCCTTGACCCGTGACAGTTGGGTCGTAGAATGCAAACTGGTCTGGGCCCGGAGCTGGCAGCGCGAAGTCAAGGTAGAAGGACGTGTCACTGATCTTTGTGGCGGTGATGGTCGCCCCCGTAGGGTCAGACTTTTGAGAGTCCTTCCGCCCAAGTGTCACAAGCGAAGGCAGGTCAAGCTCGATGTACATGGACACATTGGAGGCAGATGACGCATCGGGTGCCTCAAAGCGGATAGTCGAAACTTGATCTGTCCCAATGGTGTCGAGCGTCTTCGCGGAGTTGAGTATGACTGTGGAGAAAATGCCGACATCAAACCGGTTCCTGAAGGTGAGCGTGCAATTCTCACAGTCAATCCGCGGATCCTGGTACGCAAAGAAGGTGTACTTGTACATCCCGGTGTCCAGATTCTTCACCCCAGGGCACTTCTCTTCAATCGTCGCTGCATTGAACCCAGGATTGTTGTTGACCGGCCCAAGACAACCATCGTCATCAATCGCACCATCATTTGTGTAGGAGAACATGGGTAGGCTCCTTGCCGAGAAGCCATTGTTGACGATCAGCTGAGACAGCATCATCTGGATCGCACTGATGCTTGAACTCGACGGCACGGCAAAGTCAGTAGCAATCAGAAAGCCGTCCCATTGGGCTCCTGCGACACCATCAATGGACTCGTCGACAGGAGACATCATTGGGACCCCTTCTCCAACCTTGACTTTGACAGTGGAGTTGTCCACGCGCACCAGCTCCAATTTGTGACCATCGGCACTTGTCAATGAAGGGGCTTCGTAGACAAGCTTCAGGTAATCCGTCAAGCCCTTCGGGGCCAGCAGAACCGTAAGGCACTCTTCCAAACCCGCTGGCGTGCTTGGGTCTGAGCAGCTATACCTAGCCTGCAAAGAACCCGTTCCAAACCAGCTCCCGACCGCGTTTACGGGCAAGCTGTCAAACTGCAAGATGTTGCCAGCAGCATAGGAAAAAAGGTGGGCCGCAAAGAGTCGTTGCATTGAATTGAATCTCGGCTGGTTGAAGTGCTTGAGCCAAGCCTTGAGCCAACCTTTTTGGAAAGGATGCCGTTGGATTGTCTCAACGAATTCTCGAGGAGATATGCTTCCTGCCTATGTGTGTTGCCAGGTGTCCTTGCTGGGTTTGCATCTGGTAGCAGCCCCAGGGGGCTCCATGTGCAATCGATTCGGCCTATGACCCCATTCTAGATTTACCCCCTGCACATCAAGATCGTTGATGGGCTACCTTGCCACTATTTGGGCTAAGAACGCGGTCCGGAAAAAGCAAAACAACACGGGCCGGCTGTTTCACAGTCGCCAGGATATTGGCAGAAGCCAGTCACTCAGTCTGGGTCTCGCGGCTTTTCTGGGAGCGTCAGGCACTTGGACACAACCCGGCTGTCGATGCTCTCCACAGCCGTTTGCACAAACTGCGGCCTGCCATCCATCTCTGGAGATTAAGAATTCACGCTCTCAGATGAGGCATGGCACGCGCCAACTCACATGCTCTACTTGCCCAAAAGGCCGGAGTCGCAGCTCCACCAGGCACCACGCCGATGCCACCTGACCGAGTCTGACTCAACCATGGCACGCGTTGGCAAAGCTCGGGTCCGTGCACATCCGAGCTGCTGCGAGTCCTTCCACTGGAACCTGGCCACAAGACTCTCGGCTTGCTGAGTCCGACGGGTGGACGACTCGGCTGCATCGCAAATTTGGGTTCCTGGCAAAGCTCTCCCCCCGTGGCCGAAACAGGTCGGGCGCGCGAGATACACTTCCCAGCCTCAAGCGACGAGTTCCCCTTGTCCGTGTCTCATTCGGAATCTCAACAAAACGAATCCAGAGAGAGGCTCGTAAAGAACCTATCAAGAATAATATATGGTTCATTCAATTCCTCTTGGCATCTTGGGGCAGGTCAAATTCGCGGTACGACTCTGTATCAAGGCCATTGCGTGTAAAGCTTCAGCAAACGCCCATGTCCATTGGGTCTCCGGGCTGATAAGGCAATGCCTCTGATCAAAGCGATAGAGCCACGGAGCCAGTGAATCCGGGTCTTGCACTCAGGCTGCTTGCCTCAGCTGACATGCTAAACGCTTGTGACAATGCACACAATGGCACACTCCTTTTGCGGGGCCAGTGCGGTGGCATTAAGAAAGCGGGTCTGTTGCCGTTGGTATGTGCCGGGCCCCAAACATGGCGAAATCCCTTTCCGAAGCCCCACGAGTGCACGGCTCATGCGTTGAGTGGTTAGGAGATCCGTGGACAAGAATTGCCACTCGCGGGCGACGGTGGCCCCAAGCCCAAGGCCATAGGACTCGCCGCCACTTTTCGGCATCACCGAAAAGCTCTTCTAGCCCCACTTCTCTCACTTCCTCAGAACCCAAACGGAGCCCAGGAATCCTGCCATTTGGAGGCAGAACGATGTTGGCTGTACACGTTATCAGGGCACCGGTGTTGGAGCCCTCCAACGCCCACTTCCGCTTCGGCTTCAGGTTGTAGAGCACACGGAGCACACACTCGCAGACCGCCCAGCGTTGGACACGTCGATGGGGTTCCGAGAGAAAGCAGTCCTGCTCACTCTGACGAGCCCAGCCCATCTTATGCGAGACCAGCCCAACCGCACAGACACTCCTCCCGGAGCGCGGGGCTCAGAGTGACAAGGCTGTCGGTTTTGAAAGTGGCACTGGAGAGTTGGAGAGAGTTGAAGAGAGTTGAAGAGAGTTGAAGAGAGCTGAAGAGAGTTGGAGGCAGTCGGCTTGAGCCAGGCCATCGAGCCCTTCTCTTCTCTCGGGCTCTCAATGAGCCCCCCGCTTCTCTGGTCTTGGATTTGTTGGGAAGTCTTGCCAGAGGCTGCCTGTCGCGAAGGGAAAGCAGGCAATGTATGAGCATAAACAGCATGAAGCGGCTAGGCGGAATGAGTGCAAAACAAGAAACCCTACCCCATGCAAATCTGTCTTCAACAAACAGTGCCACTGTCATCTTGACTGCTCGCCTGTCGCCTGTCGCTCGATCAGTCCGGTCGAAAACCCCGTTGTCACAGCTTTCCCTTCTCAAGCTACACATCCAGAGGCCTCCTGCTCATCGATCAGGCGGTTCCGTCGGGCCACCTGCACCTGCGGCGGTGCAGTTGGGCGGTTGGGGCCCCAAGAGGCCAAAGCGCCAGAAGTCGCCAGAAGTCGCCAACCTCCTCCAGAGAAACTTCCTCCATCACCAGAACAGCATCCGGGTCCAGCGTATCTGCCTGGGCCTCCGACCGGTGAGCACGGTGAATAACAATTCGATAACTTCTCGAAAGGCCCCACTTTGCCAATTTGGCTACGGGTCAAAACCCCGTACCCCCAGTGAGCATCCCGATCCCCACTAAAATAGACTAAAATGGGTGGTGCACCTACCCCAAAATGGCACCATTGGTTTTGACCCACAGCCATTTGTCCTTCTCAACAAACAAACCGGGTACAAGCCGCACAAAGATTCAGGTACAGCAAGCCCGGCTCGCCTTCAGCTTCTCCTCGCTGGCTTCGTGGGAGAGCATGGTCAGCACCAGCCAAAGGCCCCAGGCCCTGCAATTGACGGAACTGGGCACACCAGCAAGCACAGAAAGCGCGGAAAGCGCGGAAAGTAGAAGACTGTGGGCAAATGGCCGTGGGTGGGGGGTTTTGCACTCCCGAAGAGAAGCAACTTGCCAAAAAGTGGGGCAAAGTATCGCATGCACGCGCCGATGCGTTGAGGTGTGTAGTGCTCTGGCAAGTACATGGTGCAGGCCCTCGCTCGCCTTGCGTAGTGGTCGCCAGGCTTTTCGCACCAAGCCAAGATCTGAGTGATAAAAGAAGACCGGAACATGTACCTCGGGATCAGTCAACGTTCGAAGACCCACCCCTCCCACTGCTCACGTCGAGACGGTCTGACGTTACACACCCATCATCCCAAGCTGAGAAGCTTTGAGGCGTGGGAGCTCGCGCGCGGCGCAGCTCCATTGCGCAGTGTCTGCCCGACAGACGAACACTCGGTGCGGCTCACGCGCCTCGCCCCCCCCTGGCCTCTGCCAGCTTTGGGCAGTCCAGCTTCCTCGCCAGCATCCGCGCCTTGCGAGCAGCCAGGGCGCGCGACAGGCACGGACACGGTTGGGCCAAGAGTGACACTTGCTGACACGCTGTGGCGCGCACCACCAGCGCGCCAAAGTGCACGTTCGTCGTGGGGATGCAAAGCACGTGGCAAAGTACTGCCACCATCAGCCGCAGCAGGTGCCGGAGCTCCCGCACCTGACCAGTGCTTCAGCACAGACCGCGCAGAGCTTGGCACAAAGATCTCTCGGGGCAGGGCATCCCAAATGCCGAAGGTGCGATGGATGGCTTGGCTCGCCAACCTCATGTGGCAAGCTCGCAACAAATACTCATGCTGAGCCCGCAGGGTCCCAGGCTCTGCACGCTTCTCAGATTGAAGCACAGAGGAAAACAAGCAGTGCACCTGCATACTCGTGAGAGGAGGCTGTGCAGGCTATCTGACTGTTCTTCCATGGCCCATGCAACTTGGGTTGCACACAGAAGGATGTGTGCGAAGAGCGGCAAACTGGGGGATCCATTTCTTGATCAATGATCGCTTTCTGGGTCCGTTGCTGAGACAATTGCACGAATGGAGCTTGCAACAAAATGCCTGGCAGAAGTTGCCGAAGACGCGCATCGCCTACCGGGAAGCTGCTTGCAGTATGGTGCTTCGGTCCTTTGCAACGGTCACACAGCTTGCTAGGGGCCCAGCATGGTGCTTGAGCACAGGGTTTGGATGCAGCGCCCACATCCGTAGCATGATGGGCAAGAAGACGTCCATGAGACCCAATCTGGAGCAAAGCCGTTCAGAATGTCACAAACCGCTAAGGAACAGCGCCAGGCTCCAAGCATAAAACATACACACGCACTAGGGCCCACACCCGAGGTTGTCGAGGCACCAGTCTAAAGTGTGGCAGGAGACCATGGCCATGTAGAGCGCGCTGCATCTGCGAGGGGGAAATATGTTTCCTGACCTTGTGTCTTTCATATGCGCAGACCTTATCTTTGCAGGACCCGGCAATTGCATCTTGCGAGGTAGCACGCCAAATCCAAACTGTTGATCAGGAGCGACCATGCACCCTTCTCGCGTCTAGATGCGAAATCGCATGCTTCATCCAGCGTTCAACAACCCAGCCCCAATTTGAACCATTTCATGCTTTTGCTTCGTTACTGCTGTTGCTTTGGCCCTGACTGGACTGCAAGCAATTACAACGCGAGAGAGTCACAGCATACCTTCCACCACTTCAGCTGAACCTCAAAAAGACGTGGGGGGGTTTAAGTCACCCTGGTCGTTGTGCTCTTTCCAATTTACCAACACCATCGATCTCATCCCGAGGACCGAGGCCTCTCCAGCAAGGTGACGGTGGATAGCTCTGCCACGCTGCCCTGCTGCTCGAAGACGGCCTCGCTCCAGTGATGCAGCCTGGGCGCTGGCGTACAGTCTCTGCCTTCGATTCTAACTCCTGCGCAGTTGGAGGAGCGCGCTTGAGGCGCCAGGACACGCGGCAAGACGGGCCAATGCTTCAAACAAAGACACCACTGCCGAAAAGTCAACGCCTTCAGATTCTGAGGTCCATGCTGCGAAAACATGCCCACGGAATGCGCGCGGGCCCGCCGGTCCTAGCACGGATCGCATCCAGGGCATCAGCGGACAGTTCATACACAAGAATCCAGGCAAACCTGTAAAGCCCAAGAAGAAACAGCACAAAGGATCGCAGCCTGGAGGTACTTGTAGGACTCTGGAAGCGAAAGGAGCCTGCAACGTGTCATAGGAATCACTGAACTGCTGCTTCGGAGATCCTGCGCCTGCTGGCAACTCCTCCAGCCAGCATCTTGGCTTCTTGCATGAACAGCGTCTCGGAGGTGTCTGCGGTCCTCGCACCAAGGATGTCTTGAGTTAGGTCAGATCGTGCATACTTTGCATGTGCCTCGGCTCAGGTTTCCCATACTTGGGCTCCAGAACCATTCTCCAAGCCATTGGCCGGGTCCTTTCTTCGCCGATGGCGCTCCGCATGGCCTGCTGCTGCACTGGCGTCGGCCTGACCCCGGACATGCAAGTGTGCATTCAAGGCCCATCGAACGATGGCTCGACACGTGGCTGGCATTTGATGTGCACGAGTCGCGCCACGAGCAAAACCAGGCAGCAGGGCAGTAGCACGGTGCAGCACACGCCGAGCATCCCCTGCTGCACCTGCACTTGGCACGAGCAAAATCAGTGCCTCGACTTCGTTTTTGCCAAGGCGCGAGAAGCCGCTGAAGCTCCTCGTTTACATCGTAGACCAGCCGCAGGGCCAGCTGCATCTCATAATCTCAGGATGGCCAGTGATGGTGACACGCCACCCACTTTGTCCATGTTCAGATTACGCCTTTGGATCTCATGGCATGCGCAACAAAAGCGCGCAGGAAAGGCGCACTATCCCTCCCACACTTTCCTCCCCTCGTCCAATATTGGAAGCACGGAAAGGATATGAGATACGAAAACGGACCACGAGGTTGCAAACCGATGGCTGCGCCTTCATGCACGGATCGCTTCGAAGGGTTGACTCCTCCCTCTTAATCCCTATCTATTGGATTCAAAGAAATAACCGGCAAGCAAAAGCGATGAGTCATAAAGCCAGACGTGTAGTTTACAAAAGGACAAGTTCCGCTCTGTTCAAAGCATAGGAAAGGGGTGATATAAGCAGACAACACTTGGCTCTCACCCACATCCCCCTGTGTTATTTAAAGATTAGCAACAATAATGAGCCTTCCACCTCGTCCTACCTATCCCTTCCTTCATCACTCTTCTTGTTTACTTTCAATTCAAGGGAGAGAAGAAGGGAAGAGACAGGAAGGAGGAAAGTCATTGATGTCACACCAGCTACCTTGCTGAAGTTTGAAGGGAGGGGAAGGGAGGGAGGGGAAGGGAGGGAGGGGAAGGGAGGGAGGGGAAGGGAGGGAGGGGAAGGGAGGGAGGGGAAGGGAGGGGAAGGGAGCGGAGGGAGCGGAAGGGAGGGGAGGGAACGGGAAGGGAAGGAGGAAGAGAGGCAGCGAGAGAGCGAGAGAGAAGGGACGAATCAGGCATACAGGCAAACTGCAACAAGAATGCGGGAAGACTACAGTGGCGGGCCCCGTTGGGACGACAACAGAAAGACTACGGGAAGACCGGGAAGATTGCGGAGAGACTGCGAGAGAGCACGGCGAAACACCTTCCTGTCCTATGACTTGCCAAAACCCTTGGTTCGTGCTCACATCCATGGCAAAAAGTCTGAGGAATTAACCCCCGCAAGCCTATCTCACAAGTATGTCTCTTTGTCGTTGATTGACAGGAGAGTACTGCTGGCAACCGTCAGCATGAAGCGACGAGGTAATCATGATGTGATGGCACTGGCCACGTTTGCAACCATCGAGCTTCTGGCTTACGATAGCTTCCGTAGCATCTCTCACCTCCTTGTCATCCTTCATCGGCCACTCCTGCCGCGAACAAAAAGTGTGCTCTCTCACACCCCGCTGATCTTTCGTCCTGCTGGCAGTAGTAGGACAGGTGCTCGCGCCTCACGCTTGCTCACGGCGGCCCGATCCCTCGGATCCCTCGGATCCCTCGGATCCCTCGGATCCCTCAGATCCCTCGGGCTCTGGCAGGTTCTTCACGATGCACTCCTCCTTCGCCACCTTTGCGCCGAACTCCGCGGGGAAGACGTCGTAGAGGTGGGAGATCTGGGGTTCGCCGCACCCAACTTGCCCATCCCCGGGCAAAAGGTCCGGGCCAAGCGAACCACCATGCCCTGCATCACCACCTCATTTGCGCCCAAGCTCGGGAAATCCGCAGTGGTCCAAGGCGCCAGCCAAATCCGTGTGCCGCTCCCAACCTGGCGGATGGAGACTGCTGACTGCTTCGGTGCCGAGCCCCGCTCCCCGCGCCTTTGGCAACTTGGTGCGGCATGTCCTGACCAGTTGAGACAAAAGCCCATTGATCGAATTGGATTTGTCTGACAGAAGCAAACAGTGCGCACAACGGCTGGGAATAAGAATGCTGGCTCACTCATTGCTCCAGTCCTTCGATCGTGTCGCATCCAACGCTGGCGATGCCTGGCAGAGGCAACTCTCTCCAGGGAAAGCACGGTGCTTCAATCAGGTTGGCAGGTTGGCCAGCCCTTTTCAACGACACTGTTCAAGGACAGCAATCGAGCTTCTGGCGCTTTGTCCCCCTGGAAAGGAAGATCTTGTCCCAACTGTTGAACCTTTCCATGGCTCCCTATGGCGGCTTTCCTTGGTCGCTTCCTTGTGCGCAGGCTTGTCATGGAATAGTCCAAAACACACATACACATTCATACTTATACACCCTCCCTGTGGAACACAGGCAAAATCGGGTAGTCCTTATGCCCTCCCCAAGGGCAAGCAGCAGCCCGTTTCTCATATCTTGCTTGACCTCACGCTCCCCGAGAGAGGCTGCCGGGGTCTTGCCCCGCTCAACGGCAAGAGATCCTCATCTCTGAACATAGCATCCAAGTGTGAAATCTATCTCATACCTATTTCGAGAAACACCTGCACACCAGTGTGCGAGCGGCAACTCTTGCATATGCAATGAGCCTACAGCGACACTGGAAGACAAACGACAGTCCAAATCACAATCCACAATATCCACATCCAATAATCAAAAGGCAGCGATTGTTTTGACATGGTTAATAACACACACGGTTGTCTTCACAGTTTAAACATGGATGCTTCAACGCGGTTGTCTAAACACAGTTGCTTGGCGAAATGAGAGGTGCGTTCTCATTGAGCTTACCTTAGCACACCTGCCTAATCATTGAACAAACACACCGCCCCAGCCCAACTCCCCATCTGACTATGTCGTCCGCGCAAATCAGTCGCCAAACAAGGCAACCTTAAATCGAAAGCTCGCACCATGCGAGCTTCATTCTGTTGGAATAACGACTAGAGTGCATCTCAACAGCTTGCTCTTTCCCCGCTGATTCCGCCCGTTCCCTCAGTGGTTTCGGCAGATAGTGCCTCGCCTCATCTGCTGCGCGCTGCATGATGGCCAGCTGCACCCTCGACTTGTCTGCCTGAGCGCAGCCCGCGTTCATCGAGCAAGGAAGCACGTGAGGCGGGCGCCAGCCGCTTGCAGAGCCATGGCCTGAAGGCGAGTCTCTCGCCAACCGGACCACGTGTTCCCGCCAACCCGTTTTGGAATGTTTGCCCTTGGGTCCTGGCACGAAGCCACCCGTCCAAACCCGCTCCAAGAGCCTGCAAGGCACAGGTGACAGACTTGCCACACCCCAGCCGCCAGGCCTGGTCTCACCATGGGTGATAAAGCTGTGGAACAAAGCCTGGCTGGCATTCCCTAGGCCTGTCACAGTCATTTCGGCTAGGGCGACTGCCACCAAGGACCCCAGGAGGTCCGGCTGGAGCTCACACATCGGCACCCTAAGCCACTCAAAGGTCAGACGGCTTCGCCCCGTCCACAACTCTCCAGACTGCATCTCCAAAGATGCCCCTTGAATTGTCCAGCATCCCCAATGTCTCCGACAACCGACGTCCCTAGCATCACCAGCATCCCCAGCATCATCGACACCTCTGCACACACACACACCCACCCAGCCAGCCACACAACCACAACCAAACATCTCCAGCATTGGCATACTAAACTCGCACAAGGCACCACCTGCAGTCACTCACTTCCTTTGTACCAGAGCTCTCAGCTCCTGGCAGCGAGGCCATGACGGTGTCGGACAGGAACCTGACCCGCAGAAGGCTCGGCAACTGACAAGTATCACAGGTATATCACAGGTATCACAAGTATGGCAACGTCAGGCGGCAGTGCGACCGAGAGACTCATAGGGGCCGAAGTATGAGTTTCGCCATGTCTCCACGCCTAAAGGCTCCGGGCATGTCAGCTCTCAGGCAGCAAACATGCATGCGTTTAGCTTCCATGATCTTCCATGTATTCCCGCCTAAACATGTCAAGCTAAACTCATCTGGTTGCTCAGGCGCCAGCGCTTCAGAATGAGGCCAAACCTCGGGGACGGTCACCCGAGCCGTAGGATGGCCAGGCCTTAAGCCTTTTCTGAGCCTCCAGGCAACACCTTCCTGAGATCCATAGCATCCTCCGGGTCCAAGGTGCTTCCTGGCCATCTTGCCCCATTTCCCCTCCCCCCCTTGCGCCCAGTTCTATGGCCACAAAACCGAACATCCCCAAACCTTGGTCCTCGAAAGGCGTTAAACCTTTTCCCAACCGTCTCACGAGCAAACTGGACCTGGGCAGTTTACCGGGCACCCAAGAACCCTGTCAAACCAAAAGCAAAAGCTGTGGCGGCGCTGCGGGCGGACACGTAGAGCAGGCCCTGCAGCGTGGACTTGGCGAAGACCTCCCCGACCTCGTCCAGCTCGTACAGGGAGGAGCCGAAGTTCTCGAGCCTCTCCAAAAACGCGCGAGCCAGGGACGAGTCCACCGCTCTTGAAAAAAGTTGGGATCGATCATGGGAAACGCGTCACGTGCGTTGCTCGCTTCATGCACTGTAAAGTTGGCAAAGTCGCAGTCTGACAACCCGGAAACTACTTCCACCTTGCCAAATCTCCGGGTGCCGCGCCACCTCTGCACCAGTTCGCGGCCTCACTGCGCACTGCCATGCGCAATATGCGCAACGTGCCCATATGCGCCACGTGGCACTGAGCCGGGCACGGGCAGACACGGAGGAGCGCGCCAGGCCCAGGAAGGCCATGATGTTCGGCAGCTCGATGACGCCCTCGGAATCGGCTCACTCCGTGAGCATGAGGGACGATGAGGGCTGGAGAGTGGCAAGCCATGGCAAGCCGCCCGTGAATTCCCCTCTCGGCTCCTGGCCCCCAAGACCTCAGCTCACAACCTTCTCCATGGGGCTTTATCCACCAAAAATCGGATCTCGATGCCACCCGCTTCAACCCTTCAGCGCAAACCTTCGGTTTCCGAAGAGCTTGTCCAATTGAGATGGGGGCATGGGCATTCATTGACACAGCCATGTGCCAGTCGGGGTGCTTCCGCGTTTGGGAGTCCATTTTGAGTCCAGAACCCAGGTCCGCAATTTGGAAAACCGTCTACTTGACACATCCCTGCCCTCAACTTGTCGCGGACACCCTTTGCGGACAAGACTTGGCCGGGTGCCTCGATGGTGCGCTCCCCAGTCAGCGCCTGAGCTGTCCCAGCGCGCATCCCAGCGGTAGGCCCTCAAGCGAGCAATTCTGAGCCCGAGACCACAAAGAGCTCGGATAGAGACATCACCTGAAGCCAAAGGGCACCAAGGCTGCTTCTCGTCTGTTCGATCCATTTGTGTTGGTGAAGGCGCTCCAAGTATAAGGTCACATGTGGCGCTAAAAAGAAGTATTTATTGTGGTTCCTGTCAAATTCCCCCGTGCAAGACATCTTGATGAAGGTGGTCTAACAAAGCACTGTTGAAGAGTTGACAACCATTGCTATTGCCTGCCCCAATGCAGAAATGCTTTAACAACCGAAACATGAATCCCAGAGTGAACCGATCATCAATGAATCGCGAAATGCTCTGTACGGCATGTCAGGTGTAATTGTCACAGATCCGAATAAACGGCTCCAAGAAAGTGAAACAAAGAAGTCCCACGAGGCGCGAGCCCTGGCCGCCCCGGAGGACGGGCTTCCGATGGCCGCAAGGACCTTGATGCGGTGCTTCGTGTTCGGGGACTTTGGGCGTTTGCTGCGGGCGTGCGTGTGATGCGTTGGTGCTCGTGCGCGCGTGCTGAGGTTGGCGCGGTCTCCAAGATGTCCAACATGTGGACATGTACGTCCTCAGCGCGCGAACCAGAGCTTTGTTGGCCCAAGGCTCCCGGGCCCTGAAGGGGTCGGAGGGGTCGGAGGGGTCGGAGGGGTCGGAGGGGTCGGAGGGGTCGGAGGGGTCGGAGGGGTCGGAGGGGTCGGAGGGGTCAGATCTGCGGCCCACGCGTAGCAGGAGGTGGCCAGGGCGATCATCATCTTGGAGGTGCTGGCGGCCAACTCCTCAGCCAAGTTCGATTTCTTGATTCCTTCGCGGCTGCGACTGGGGTCCGCACGTCCAAAGGCCCGGTGAGGATGCGGCGGAAGGCTTCCAAGCCTAGGGAAAACGATCCGCGCAAGATCGGCGAGGCGGCGAAGCATGGTTGAGGGGACTAGCCTCCAAAGGGTATATCGATATCAACCCGTTGAGAGCTCGTCAAACCTTGCTTTGGCGAGCAAATATAATTTGCTACTTCCAAATAGCCGATTGCTCCGTCGATGGCAAGGGGACTATGGAAGGAGCTAGTATGGGCAACTGCCAGGTCTCCCTGGTGGGTGCCTTTGAAGTGTCTGGAAGTCAACGAAAACAAGGGATGTCTTTGACCACACAGCTCGTGCAGATTGGAGGAAAAGTGCCGGTGCCAAGTCGTGTGACACCAAGGCCATGGCAGTTGGCCTTCAAGAAGGCCGCTCCTGCCAAGTGAGACCTCAAAGTTGGCCGCTCACGAATGTCTCAAAGTTGACCAAAATCATTCGCTTGCTCCTGTCCAATGCAAACCCTCACAAAAGGCCACACCATTTGCCAAAGGGGACAGGCAAGCATGGAATCTCTCGGCAAAAAAAAAATGTGCCCATGGCCGATGGAACCAATGGAACCCCCCAAGAGAGCCGTGCTAAGAGTTCCGGCTGTGAGCCCTTCTGCAACATCTCGCAGAGATATTCACAGGAGCCGCGACGCAGCTGCACGGTGGGCGCCTCCGCATGGCCGAAAAGCCGGAAAAAACAACGCGGGGCACTTTCTTTGCAATTCGGTTTGCGCCGGTTTTTGAGAGGGAAGCTCCAAATACAACATGTTTCTTTGCAATTCCTAGGTTTCCGAGAGGGAAGCTCCAAATGCGAGCTTTCTCTGCGCACATCCCGTTCCGGGTGCAGAGCAAATCGCTCAAGGCCCCCGGCGCTGCAAATCAGAGCCAGCAAGTAGAGCGTGAACCTCGGCCGGTCGCACTTCCCCGAACTTGGAATTCCAACCAGGGCTTGAGACGCGAAAGCGCCTTCCCTCTTTTTCTCAAAGCGCAAAGCGACTAATACTCGGATCTCCATGGGGGTAGAATGGAGGTCTTAGAGGAATATATTTTGCTTCCTCTGGACTTGCTGCATGCAGAGAGGGCATGTCTGAATAGCTTCTCCAGAGCAATCATGGCCAAGGCAAAGATGGCCGCATGGCAGAAGCGCATGGTCAGAGCAGTTTTCCTGACACAGACACCACAGCTGCACCTTCCGTCGCTTGGCTCGAGCTTCTCTCCTCTTGTCCAGAAAGCCGTCAACATCATCGTCTCCAACCTCCACTACTCCTTTCTCACCAAGGCCATTTTTTCGTCAACTACGAAAAGACTCTTGCGTATGCCTTCTGTCAAGGCTGAAACGCCATGCAGCACGTCTGGGGGATGCCGGCACACTGATCCTGCAGGTCTTTCCAGGACGTGGAGATGATTGTTGACAAAAAAACAAAGCCTGCCACCTTTATACTTGCCAGAGTCATTGAGCGCAACTTGCACCGTTCCAGTCGAATAGCTGGATACACGCCTTGCTCGGCCCTTTAGTCATGCGTAGCGCTATCTTGGTGGGTGGACGAGACCCGGGTATTTGAATAAACCGAACGTCCAACATGTGAAGAGTCATGTTTGCAGTTTTGTCTCCACCAAGCAGCCTCAGGAATTGATTTTGCGGAACAGCAAGACGGAGGTCAACCCGTCTAGGCCCAGGTGCTGTGTTGTCCCACATGTAATCAAGGAAAGACGACAGAAGCATTCGGTATTGAGGACTGATGACGTTGGCATCAGTGGAGAAATCCGCCGACATTGCTCGGCGCGGACACCTAAGAGAGGATAGAGGATAACCCCCCCCCCTAACCCCCCCCCAAAAATTATTATAAGGGGGGGCCTAAGGTAGGGTATTTTCAGTTTTCAGTTTCAGGGGCAGGGTTCATTTTCAACAAGCAAACCATTTTGTCCAAAACACCAAGGGGGATTGTAGGGAATTTTCCTAAATTTTCTCAACATTTTTTTACAATTTTTTCATTATGAAACAGTCTAAGATTTCATCATTTTCAAGGTTCGGGTTTCAGACAATTTTTAAGCTTTCTGGGGGTTAGAGGGTTGGGATTGACACATTAATATTTGTCAGGTAGTTTTCTATGTTGTCAACAGGTAGTTGTCTATGTTGTCAACAGGTAGTTTTCTATGTTGTCAACAGTTAGTTTTCTATGTTGTCAACAGGTAGTTTTCTATGTTGTCAACAGGTTGTTTTCTATGTTGTCAATGTTGTCAACAAGTCTATGTTGTCAAGGGTTCCTTGTCTATGTTGTCAAGGGTTCCTTGTCTATGTTGTCAAGGGTTCCTTGTCTATGTTGTCAAGGGTTCCTTGTCTATGTTGTCAAGGGTTCCTTGTCTATGTTGTCAAGGGTTCCTTGTCTATGTTGTCAAGGGTTCCTTGTCTATGTTGTCAAGGGTTCCTTGTCTATGTTCTCACCTTCACCAACCCGACCCCGCACCCCCAAACCCGCCCCCAAATATACTTAAAGAGAAAATACCTTATATAGTATAGAGAAATGGCAGAGGAATACAGCACGGGTTCAGTAATTGAATATCTATTATCCAATAATGAAGGTCAAATAAAAACAGGGAAGAATAACAAACCATTGAAAAAACTAATCATCAACAACAAAGAATACTATTACAACAAAGACAAACCATTATCCTCATCACTTCAAAACAAACTCAATCAAGTCAGCAACACACAAGGTTTCAAACGATTTAATCTTCTAAAAAAAGCATCAAACACAATGAGAGGAATTAAAACAATCCAGAAATACAGATTAAAAATAGGAGCAAAAACATCAGAGACATTTTCGGCATTGGAAGGGTACGCCAACACATATTCAATATCCAACATACCATTCAAGGGATACAAAGGATTAACATATCTTTTATGGCAAGAAAAGAAACTAACAGAGTTTTTACAACAAGCAAAGTCAATGAAACTACTGATTGATGTTGAGGTTCTGTTTGATAAAGTTAACCAGCAAGATGATGATGATGGAGAAGACGAACCAACTGAGGAAAATATACAAATAAAACACGATATGAGGAGTAGGAGATACAACATTTTGAATGTAGGAGACTTGAAAAAAGCATTGGAAAATATGCCTAAAGATATTGAACTACAAGTTGAAAACTCACCTTTGAAACATTCAGGATTGAAGATTAATAAGACTAACAAAATCACCATCCACTACGACAAATACAATCCGAACAGAGCAGGAAGATATATGGAACTACCAGAATGGATTTCAAAGAAAAAAGCACGTATCAACATTCAAAATGATGATGAATTATGTTTTAAATATTGTGTTTTATGTAAATTTTATGAAGTCTTCAAGAAAGACCATCCACAACATATGAGACACTACAAGAAATTAATAACTACTGAAAGTCTAATTCAATGGGACGGTGTAAATTTTCCAGCATCCAATGATGACATAGACCATTTTGAAGAAATCAATAACAAATCTATATCAGTTAATGTTTATGTTGAAGATGAGAACCAAACCATCAGAGCAGACAGAATAACGAAGATTGAAAGACCATCTTGTCATATCAATCTATTACGAATTGAACAAAACAATAACGAACATTATGTTTTAATAAAAGATTATAATAGATTAATGGGTAGTCAAACCAACAATCACAAAACAAAGATATTTCATTGTATTTACTGTCAGCACGGTTTTCAATCAGAAAAGCTTTTAAATGCTCACATATCAAAAGGTTGTATGGCAAATGACATTCATCAAACAAAAATGCCAGAAGAAGGAACAACAATGAAGTTTGAAAAGCATTTTAAGAAACTGAAAGCGCCCTTTGTTATTTACGGTGATTTTGAATGTTTAACAACAGAAACATCAGAAGGCATCAAAGGGACTTATCAGAACCATAAACCCAGCGGTTATATGCTTAACCTTGTTAATGCTTACAGTGGAGAAATGAAACCATTTTTATATAGAGGTGATGATTGTATGGATAAATTTTGTGATACATTAAACAATATTAGAGACGATGTAATGAAACAAATGAAAAATCCAAAAGATATGATTATGTCAGATTTAGATGAAATTAAACATTTAGAAGCTAAAAAGTGTTTCTTATGCAATGGCACTTTTGACAACAGAGTAGAAGCGAAAAAGAAAGTTCGCGACCATTGCCACCTGACTGGATTATACAGAGGAGCGGCACATATGAAATGCAATATAGACTATTGCTTTAAAAAGTATCATATACCAGTATTCTTTCATAATCTTAAAAACTATGATGCTCATCTCATAATATCAAATCTTGAAAAGTTAAACACAAAGAAAGAACAAATATCAGTAATAGCACAGAACAGTGAGAAGTTTATTACCTTTTCATTGAACAGACTTGAATTTAAGGATAGTTTCAGTTTCTTGTCATCATCATTAGATAAACTTGTTAAATTAACAAAATATGAAGATAATAAATTAAGGGACAACTGGCAGGAACATTTTAAATATAGTGTCAAAGGCAAATACATTAAAAATGAAAAAGATTTATTTTTACTGACAGAAAAGGGAGTTTATCCTTATGATTATTGTAATGACTTCAATAAATTTAATGACACTGAACTACCAGAAAAGAAACATTTTTATAGTAGATTAAGCGAAGAAGATATAAGCGATGTTGACTATGAAAGAGCAAAACTAATATGGAAACACTTTAACATTAAAAACCTCGGTCATTATCACGATTTATATTTAGAAACCGATGTATTATTATTAACCGATGTATATGAGAATTTCAGAAAACAATGTCTAACAGATTATGAATTAGACCCCGCCCATTACTACACTTTGCCTAACTTTGCTTGGGACGCGATGTTATTGAAAACAGGAATTGAGTTAGAACTTCTACACGATGAAGAAGTTTATAAAATGATAGAGCAAGGACTAAGAGGCGGTATGGTTCAATGTGCCTATAAAAAAGCAATTGCTAACAATAAATATATGGGTGAAGATTATGATAAGTCTAAACCATCTTCATATATTTCATACCTTGATGCTAATAATCTTTATGGTCTGGCAATGTGTAAGAAACTACCATACAAGAAAATAAGATTTGTAAAAGATAATTTCTCAGAAGAAGACATTAAATATTACAATAGTGATTACAGTAGCAAAGGATATATTTTAGATGTTGATTTAGAATATCCGAAAGAATGCCACGACAAACACATAGATTATCCATTAGCACCAGAAATAATGAATATAACAGCAGATATGCTAAGTGATGTTCAAAAACAAATCTATAAAAAATACAATAATGATAATGACCCGAAAGATGAGAAAACAAACAAATTAATATTAAATGTTATGGACAAACAAAATTATGTTTTACATATTGATATATTAAAATTCTATCTTAAACAAGGATTAAAAATCAAGAAAATAAACAGAGTTATAGAGTTTAGACATAAGCAATGGTTGAAACCGTGGATTGACTTTAATACAGAGAAGAGAAAGGAAGCAAAAAGTGATTTTTCAAAAGATATGTATAAGTTAATGAATAATGCTGTATATGGCAAGACTATGCAAAATGTAAGAAACCAAATTGACTTTGAACTGGTTGATACACCTGAACGCTACCAAAAATGCGTTAATAATCCTAATTTCAAATACAGGCATATCATTAATGAAAACCTTATCGGTGTTGAAAAAGCCAAGAGCGTTATAAAACTGAATAAACCTGTTTATGTTGGAATGTGTATATTGGATTTGTCAAAACAACATATGTATTCTTTTTACTATGACATATTGAAAAAGAAATATAATGAAAATGTGAGGTTAATTTACACAGATACTGATAGTTTCGTCATTCACACTAAAACCGAAGACATTTATGATGATTTCAATGACATAAAGGAATTTATGGATTTCAGTGATTATCACCCAGAACATAAATGTTATGATGAATCAAATAAGAAAAAACTTGGTTGCTATAAGGACGAATGCAACGGTAAAATAATAACTAACTTTATAGCATTGAAACCAAAGTCATATTGTTTTAAAATACATAATGAAGTGAAAGAGGAAAAGAAGAGTAAAGGTATTCCCAAACAAAAAGTTAAGAAAGAAATAAGCTACAATCATTACAATGATACATTAGAAAATAACAACTGTGATACAATAACATTCAATTCTATAAGAAGTAAAGCACATCAAATATACAGTGTCAGTCAAACTAAAAAATCATTATGTAAT